GCAAGGACAATTTCTTCATAATGGTTACAAATGTAGGACTTGTAGATGAGCGAAAGAGGTCATAAGCAGCACCCCCTGAAAACATAATTTTTAGCCCGGTTTTCATCGATGTAGGTGTCATGACATCATATATATGCAAATACATAATCTGTATGTAGACAAATGAGCGTACTCACGCCAACCTTCGCATCTGCGTAACTTAAGTTATGTTGCATAACTTTGCGAGAATTTGAGAGATTTCGCAAAACCTTTACTGGACAATCATTTGAGATTTTTTTTTGCAAATCTACATGGGTATGTTCTTATTTCGCGAACTCGGCCTCAGCAGCACAAACAAGAGAAATTACAGAAATGCGTGGAAACAATATTAAAATACGTGTTTTTAATTAATGGATTTGAGCGATTTGCGAATCCCCTCACGACACAAATTTTTTAATCTTCACAACTTGTGAAGATTACAAGTTTGCTCAATAAGTTGCGATGCGATATAAGACGTTGTCATGAGTACGCTCAATATGCATATCATACGGTGGATATACCTCTTCCCACGACGTTCAATCCCGTCATAAAATTCGACTCAGCTAATTCCTCGAAAGTCTCAGGAACCCAGGAATGTATAGGAAATGCCAAAACCGAGACTAACTTTGCTCTATATGCCGTTGTTCCCACTGCAACAAATAACAACCAAAATCCACAAAATGCACGAATCCAACTAAACTCTTTATCCGGCTGGGGAGCATCTTGTTCCAAAACAGATTTACAAATGTACCACACTATTTTAGACACTGACCACGACGACGCCCGTTTACTAGCCAGTTGGCCACCGTTCCTCGAATCCAATACCGGCACGAGGAAAAGCAGTTTGACCACAATTCCCGAAAACAAGGTGCATGACCCAAATAAAATCCACGAATCGAATCGTAACGGCCACACAATAGCTTCTGCCGAATAGATCACTTCCGGAGAGTGACAAACGAAGATTATCCACTCGTACGACAATGGAGCTGACCATTCCACGTATTGGTTTCGACTGTAAATGTGCGCAATGACGAAGGCTATTTCTGCGACTTCATTATACACGTCGCCCACTGCTCCGGCCCAAGTCCCATTTTTTAACTGGACCCCCGTCCCCCCGTCAAATGACGAGAGGGACATGTCGTAAGTAAAGTTGAGCTTTTTCATCGCCCCCTCCAACCAGGTTACGTAGTAGCCACGCTTAGGATGATATTTCTCATCACCATTTGATTCCACTTTATGGATTTGAATTCTAAACGGCGCTTTTGGAATTGACATTTTTATGCACCGCCCAAAATGATTTTTGGTAAGGTCGGGAAAGATTTGGGACAAATGGTGGGATGTATTTTCGTCCAAATTAAGCAAAGTGATGAGTTGAGGTTTTCCTCCGTTTTGATCAGGATGCATTGTTTTTACGAGAATTGATCTCTCGTCCAAATAAAAGCCAATTTTATATTTTATTTTTAACCCAAATTCTGGCGAGGCCATGAGTTCATTTTGTCCAAAGAAGATGTAGTAATCTTCATCCTTTCGAGTTAGGGGGAGAAAATGTGGGGTTAAAGTTTGGAATAACTGAAGGCCTGGATTGTTGCTATCGTAAGCAGAGGTCGTACTAATAATGATGACCACGGAGCAGATTGCAGTTCTTAACTTGGGTACGTTTTCTGCCCCACTGTGGAGTCGAGTCGTTGCGCTGTTTAGGTCAATTTGCCGTTGGACGAGAATCTCGTCGGATTCCTGACTCAAGTCTTGGTTTGTCCTTTCATTATTCTTGTAATGCGTCCACACAAGGTCGCAGTGAGACAAATGCGTGAAAATCGACTTCTTTAAGAAAATAGTTATTTCTTGTTGGAAAATCGGACTGGTAGGAAATTTTAAGGAACTTGATGCAAGTACCGATGTGAAAATCTCCTCATTTGTAAAAAAAGTCCTGCTGACTCGTGCATTAATTTAATCTGGTTTTCCTTTGGGGTACGATCAGGCTGTGGCAAGTACCACATTTTAAAGCCTTAAGCCCAAGCTTAAATTTGAGCACTTATTGGATAATTTCCATCGACATTGTCAGCAGTGAGCCCGGTTTCCGTTGGAATTTCGTGAATTTCTTTGGATTCCAGGCTTGACAGGCTTCCCGATGGGTGTGGTCTTTGGAGGTTTTCAAAAAATTCTTATTCGACTGTTCTTAGTCTATTGAGCCCCCATGAACGTTTTTATAGTCCGTTGGGCTAAATTAAAGTACACCTTTGACTTTTTCAACACATGTCAAATTCACTATTTTTCATTGATTTTTTTTTGTGAAAAACCATCGCCGCCCGCTTCTCTTCAATTTCGTATATATTTATCTAGATGTTCAAAAATTACAAAGTCCATAGTGAATCATAGTGTAAATCGCATGGCGAATCTAATGCACTTATCAGATTTTAATTCTGCGGCGCAGTTTTTTAACAATCAGCTATTGACACTTGTGTGTATACGACTAGGTAATAGAAATAAAGTCAATAGAAAAGTCAGCATTTTTATGAGCAAATGTGTCTTTATTTCAAGAAGTGAAGTTTGTAAAGTGAACAAAAGTGAATTAGTGTAATGTGCAGACAAAATCAGCCTAAGGCATACCTGGTATGATCGATAAACGGTGTAAAATGTGAATGGAATAGATGATCGCGTAAATCATTCAATTTTCAAAACATTTCACCCATAATATTGTGTCGTTGGGGTTTTTACGGGCGTACAGAAAAATTTAGTTGACCCATCCACGCAACGCTTATGTAAGAAAATGGCGTAAATTACTTCGTTCCAGGTAGCATTTTCCCCGATTTTTTGGTTCACTGTGCATTATCTAACAGCTCTCCCAAGCTAAATTTAGTACGACTTTCGTTGATTAAGGGGTGAAAGCCCTTTATGTATAAGACCGCTATGTCCGTCCGTCCGTCGGCCCGTTGTTGGTCAAATAATAACGCGTGAACGAAAAGGTATAGAAACTCGAAATTTTGAACGTAAGCTCCTTATGCCAAGGGGCATGGCAAATTCAAAGATGTGCACTGTATGTAATTGTAGGTCACAGCGCTAGGTTACAGTGTGGAAGAGGTCAAAGGTCATAAATGTTAAAAACATATCAGACGTGTCAATTTCAACAGATTTTCAGATTTTAACACACAAATTTCACTCCTTGGTTACATTCGTTGTAATGGTTTATTCTTTTATTATTCTGTCCGAACTCCGAATCATATACAATGCCTGTCTTTATTGAGGCACAAGGTTTACATACTTTTCTTTCTATTCCGATTGCGAGTTGTATATCGCGAACATCGAGTTTCGGACCTAGAATCCTTTTGTCACCTTCAATTATTAAAGACGATGGTGTCCTAAGCGAAGCACGGAGTCCAAGCCATTACCAGCACCGCCTAAATATACACAAAGTATAATTGCCATACCACATGACGCAATCTAATTGCATATTCGGTGTGGGAAGACGTGCTTCATTTGCGAGGGAATTAACAATTTACCCCATAAGACCCGAATCAGGTCTTATGGGGTTAGGCCGTTAACTAATGAGAACGTTCATTCGTGTAGCTTAAAATATGTGCATATAGAATACACTTTATCTACCTAATAACCATTACACGAAAGGAATATTGACAACTTTTAACCTCATTCCTGTCAGGATACACAATTGCAGACATTGCAGACACTCCATTATTAAAGACCAATTAAGTAAGTTCATACTTGATATCCAGCAATTTGCAAACTTTTCGTGGACATGATACATGTATACATGATTTCAAAGAAAGAGAGAGAGAGAGCATTGAGCTTCGTGCTAGGAAAATAAGTTGGCAAAGCTTGCAAGGTTAAAGCGCAATAGTGACATAATTATCTATTATAAAAAAATATATTTGTTTGCCGTACTACGAACCCTACTTCTTTGGGTCACACAAGAACGGCTATAGCGACGGTTGGGGCAACTTTAAAAAAATTGTCCTCTAGTACACTAATTTTATTGCCTATGTAGGACTTATCTTTCATGGAAATTCATAAATTTAAAATACAGCTGCTAAGATTAAATAGTAAAAAATAAAAAATAAATATTTATAACAAAACGCATATATGTATTAATAATACTGCGAAAACGCTCGGTTTGATGATTTTGCTTGATGAAGAATAAATTACTACAGATGTTAATTTGAAAGCTTGCAAGATAATAAATATTTACTGGATATATCCTCCGATGCCGATTCCAACTACACAAGTAGATATGTAGATAAATATTTTCAGGTTGGGTATATGGCTACGTTGAAAATCTTGGTATTTAAGCTTTCAATCATGATCGGAAGTATCATTCATTTAAATAATTAAAGAATGCGCATCGAGTTTGCACTGATTCATGCATGCAAACGTATTGTACCTACTCATATATTGCCTATAGCCTAACTCTTCATTATCTAAACTGCATAAATAGTTATGCAAGCAGCTTAAGCGCAATGTTAGTTTTGATTTTCTTCCAATAATGAAAATACCCAAGTCAATTGTAGTCATGGAGCTATCCTTTCGCTTCAAAAGTTTCTTAGAAAGCAAGAGATCGGTTATACTGTAATCCTAATTAATGGTGTACTTGGACGATATTTTTTTGCAAAAATAATCCAATGAAGAATTTTGGCCCGGAATGATCCACACAATCGCTTGACTATAAACCTTGACTATATACCCCTATTATTAACCAACGGAAGCATGCAAATAATTGCATGACATTACAATACCTCAGACATTAAATAATTATGTATGTATGACAATTTTGAGTAAGTGCATGTACACTGAAATGAATTCACCACATACATACATATGTGTCTGCTAAATGATGAACAAAAATGCATGCAACGAAGATTCATACAATGTATGTATTGCACATATTTATGTACATATATCTGGGAATTGTACTTATCAGGTGCCTACCTATTTATGAACACTCGAGCCAGTCTCTGATAATTGCCATTTTCCATCTGCCAGAAGAACCCAATGGTATTTTAAAGGTTGCTACATATTTATCCATTGTGTTATTGTGTATTGTTATCAAGTATTTAAAACCGTAGTGAATCCGACATCAAAAATAAGCATGTGATGCAATCAGCATGTGATACAAACAACACTGGACAATAATTGCGATGTTATAGCTCAATTACAGAAGATCCGACAGAGTGTGAAGTTTTACTGAAGGGATTTATTTTATTGAAAAGTCAGAAAACATTTAGGTTATCGGAACATGGTTTCCGGAACGGTCGTAGCTCTCGCTGGAGTCCTCGCAGGACTGGTTTACTTTACCTTTTTGAGGAAGCCCAAATGGAAAAATGCTCCCCCAGGTCTGACAATGTAAATATTTATTTATCCAAGCAACTTTCCATGACATAAATTCTAACATTTTCATATCTAGGACCTCGTGGATTACCGTTACTTGGAAATATTTTCCAAATGGTACATACGTAGTAATGAATATAACATTTTCATTAAATCTACAAAAGAGCGTACACAAAGTTGAAGTGAATCTTATAGAATTTCTCTTAATTATTTCTATAGGACAAATTCCAACATGTAACATTTTGCAAGTGGGCGAAGGAGTTCGGACCGTTGATTAGAGTAAAATTTGCTTCATTAAAGTGAGTAAACGAAAGTGCATCGATACCGAAAAATCCAAGTTTTTCTATAAAAAATTATTGTTTTCATACTTCATGCTTCATGTTTTTTTAACAAAAAAGATACCATCTCCAAAATTTGTGTACATATTTAAATAGATTACTTTTATTAACAAACACATTTATTTCAGCATGATTGTCGTCTCGGACTACAAAATGGCCAAGGAGATGTTTTCCCACTCCTCATTTTCTGGCAGGATGGATTTTACACCCTTCGATTTAATCCTGGATGGAAAATTGCATGGAATCATCAACACTGAGGGCGAACATTGGGAAGAACTTCGGCGATTCACGCTGCGACAATTGCGCGATTTTGGTTTTGGCAAGGGCTCGATGCAGGATTCCATAATGTTGGAAGTCAACGAGCTTATCGACCTCATTAAAGAAAACGGCGAAAAACCTGTTGATAACATCAAGCAGCGCCTTCTGCTGGCCGTCGTAAATTCGTTGTGGGCAATTTGCACGGGAATCAGGCACAAACAGAACGATAAACAACTTTTGGGCATGAGCGAGAAGGCAAATAAGTGAGTGAAATTTGAAATTTTCACGGAGAACTATTGATTTTAGTTGCAACAAAATTGGTGAGGCAATCTAAGAAGTCATTGGAAACTCGTAAAATTTGCAAGTTTTGGAAAATAATTTTACAAACTTTTACAAAATAAAGGATACCCTCGGTCTGAGTAAGCGGACAAAAATGTATAAACTAATTTAATTCAAAAATATTTGTAAAATTTTGGAAACGTTTGGAAATTGAAAGTTTAAAGATTTTGCAGTCTTATCAAGAACTGTGTGAATTGCATCATTTAAATTTCATCGCTGCTGAAAATTTTACGAACTCTGACGCAACATTTAAATATGTGGCAAATTTGATGAATTGAATTTTTACCTTTAATTTAATTGTTTTTTTACACTTGAAGAGCATTTGATGGCGTGGTAGAGGGTGGGAGTGTTATTCTGTTTGTGAGATGGCTAATCTATGCCTTCCCAAAGTGGACTGGATACGATAAGATAAAAGTAGCACTAGTTGACTTGGCCGATTACATGCGAAAACCAATAATTGATCATAAGAAAACGAGACAGGATGACTTTGATAGGTAAGCAATGCAAAAATTAATTTGCAAAAACTATGTAATTAATTTGATATAAGAAATTTAATGTTTTTTGCAAACAATTTGCAGAGATTTTACGGACGCGTTTTTAAAAGAGATTGCGAAAACGACAGATCCGAATTCAGCATTTATGGGGAAATTAGGAGGTATTGCGTGGTTAAAGGCTTACCATCAATAGTTGGGAATTTGATTGACCTTAATTAATTAGAGGACAACCTTGTCACAACGCTGGGCGATTTATACCTTGCCGGAACCGACACAACTGCAACCACGCTCTCGTGGATGATTCTGTACCTCAGCAAATTTCCAGAAATTCAGAAAAAATTTCAACAAGAAATTGAATCCGTTACGGGCAATACCAGACCAATTTCAGTGTCAGACAGACCAAAGTGAGTTACAAATTTTCAGGGGTCGGGGTTTCTGAGTTTGAAAAATAATTTTAAAAATTTCCACAGTTTACTAAGTTGACGTGAATATGTAGCTTCATTTCGTGCACCTTAAACAAAAATCGTATGCATTTTCCAAGGCTTTTGTACAAAACTAGTGGTGCATTTCCCCTGTATCGATTCGACGCTAAAAAGTTTTTTTTTAATTTCTGATAAATATATGTGTAATCACATATTTTTAAGATGTGCGTATTTTACGCGAAAACTAAATTTCCTTAATATTTTTGCAAATATATCCAAAACCTTGAATAACTTCAAATTTTGCCATATTTTTTCAGCATGCCATACACGGAAGCTCTGATTGCAGAAACGTTACGTTTCTCATCCATTGCACCGATAGGAGTGCAACACAGAGCCTTGAAGGATGAAATGTATAAAGGTTATCTTATTCCGAAGGACACCGTAATCACGGCAAATTTATACCACATCCATTTTGACCCGAAAGTCTGGACTGATCCTGAGAACTTCAGACCGGACCGATTTTTGAGTCCGGATGGAAAAATATTTAAGAAACATGACGCCCTGATTCCATTCTCCACGGGGAGGAGGCAATGTCTCGGAGAAACTTTGGCGAGAGACAGCATTTTCCTATTTTCGACCAACATGGCGCAAAGATTCGACATTACTTTTGATAAGAATGGACCAGAAAATGGTTTCGAGTGCGAATTGTCCTTTCTACTGAAGCCTAAACGGTTCAATGTAATTTTTAAGGACAGATTAGCTTAAGTTAAAAATGTGATGACTTGTAGTTGAGAATCAAATATTTAGAGATGATTTATAATTGTATCATTCGGATTGTAAAATTGTAAAATTCGGATTAAACAAATGGATACGTATAATAGCGATTTATTAATTCCCAAGATTCATATTATGTCGTTACAGCATGAATAGGTCAAACACATACCAATAGGAAATACTATGCTATTCGTATCACAAACGTTACGTATTTACTTAATATCTTATAAACGAGTTACCACCATCTCGTCTGGAATTTCGTTACGCTCGAATGACTGAAAAATCAAAACAACAAGGAAACAATTGCTCATGCATATTTTTTATGGAATATCTATTAAATTAATACCTCAGCAGCTATTCGTCTCATATTTGCTAGTTCACTTTCCCCATTTTTGGCTACCATTGCTGTGAATAATCCATCTTTATTCATCAACAATGCGTGAGGATGATCATATTCCTATAACAGGAATACATATAAATATAAATATGTACATACGTACTTAAATACATATTAGAAATGTGTGCAATGTTGGCTAAAAAAATCATGAATGGAAGATAGACAATAAATAAGCATTGGGTAGGAAAACTATTAAATATCGTACCTTGATTAACCCATCATCCAAAACTAGAATTTTATCACAATCAATCACCGTATTTAACCGATGCGCTACCGTAATAATTGTACAGTGCTTAAATTTTGACCGTAACGTGTTCTGAATGAATTTGTCCGTCCTAAAAATTTACAAAGATAATTTCACACTTTTTTGACCAATACTTAGTAATTCCACCATCTAAAATGAACCAAATTAAATACTCACGTTTCGTCCACATTAGCGGTAGCTTCATCGATCAAAATAATCCTATTACGTCGGAGAATGGTTCTAGCCAGGCAAACAAGTTGACGCTGACCTATACTAAAGTTTGACCCACCGTTTAAAATGTCCATATCCAGATCGGTAATGGAATTCGCGAGATCGACCTAATGATAAATTTTTCGCAACATTTTATGCAAAACTTTGATTTCATAGAAATGCCATATTTATTTGCATACATCGCCAAGCACACTCCATAACTCGTTGTCACTAAATTCGTTAAAGGGGTCCAAATTGAATCGTAATGAGACCGTGAAGAAGTGCGGATCTTGCGGAATTATGGATATATTTTTGCGGAGATCGTGCAATCCAATTTTTTTGATGTCCACGCCGTCAATTAGTATCGTCCCATTTGGCTCAACAAGGCGAAGGAATGAGGTTATTATCGAGCTTTTTCCAGCCCCTGTTCTTCCCACGATTCCAATTTTTTCTTGACTTTTAATTTCAAATGTGAGATTTTTTAAGGATTGCTTCTCCTCGGTGTAAGATAAGGAGACATTTTGAAAATTTATTTGTCCCTGATTTGGCCAATGTTTTGGGGGTTGGTTTTCTGTAGTTGGATTAAAAATTTGCATTATTATTGGGTGCTCTGACAACTTTCAGGTAGTTTGCAAATTAAAATTTTCTAAGTTATGTTGCACATGTAAAATTTCCGAAAAAAATTTGCTATAAAATTATGAGATTTTTGTACACAAATATACCCAGAAAATTGGCATGCTTTCATTTTATAAACTACATAACTATTTGCTACACGAATTCTAAATAAGCCATTTATGTATTTGAAGTGAGTACGCCCATTATAAAGACAAAATCATTATAAAAATGTGAACATGAAAATAGGTGCATATTAATTTTACCTTGAGTCGATTTCAATGAGGCCTCTGGTTTAATTTTAATGTAATCCAAAATTCTTTGCACGCAGGTCATAAAATTTTCTGTTTCTGCCGATTGTCTCATTCCCCATTGGAACGATCCAGTTAAGGTGAGTGTAGAAGCGATTGCGATGCCAACATTAGATCCGGCTGAAAATTAAAAAAAACTTAGACTCGATTTTGAAATAGGTACATTAATGTTGATACTTATAATTGACTCATGTAACAAATACAGTACACATTTAGCTACATATCAGAAATTTTAGTCCACTTACTACTTTCAACGAATAAAAATCCTATCGTGACAAAAACCAGGAACATTACTGAAGCTAATTCTAGCCAAATTCCAAACCAACGATTCACAGCAATAAACAAGAACCATGCAGCGGAGTGCAGATCCTGTATAAAAATTCATTTTTGTAATCACTTATAAATCATAAAAAAAAATTAAAAAAACATTTAATCAATGCATGTAATTTACATGATGACTGTCAAACTGTTTCATCAAAGTGGATTGAGACTTAAATGCCCGAATTGTATCAAGTCCTTGCATCGTTACACTTAAGTGGCTCAATATCGGACTGCGGGCTATTTATGGATATATATTTACATATTTCTAAAATTAGTCACTTCAAATTATTATTTTTATTTCCTTACTAATCGACTCGATCCGCTTCAAAGATCGCGATGTTGTGACGAAATATTGTCGAATAAAGAATAACGACACAAATAAGATGACTGTTGGAATAGTGAGAAAATAATTGGAAAGAATGACAATTACAGAGACACCGAACATGCTCAAAAATATGGCAACAGTATCAGCAAACGCGGTTGGAAGCATGTCATCAATCGCTCCGATATCTCGGGTAAATCGGTTCATGACACGACCTGAAAATTTTTTAAATGTAATTTAAATCGCACATCACAAATAATAAATTTGCGAGCAATTTTACCGGATGGATTATCATCAAAAAATTTAGTCGGAGCACGAACTAAATTTGTAAACATGTCGTCATGAAGATGGCTGCTTATTCGAGCGCAAATCTCATAAAATAATAAAGCTCTTGCGACGCAGAATATAATTCCGAGAGCGACAAGTCCTGAATAGATGAAAATATACGTATTTTCATGGAAGGATTTCTCCTCATTCAAAACTTGAGGATTTTTAGCTCTCGTCTCATTAGTCCTGTAACAAAGTATTTAGTGATTTGACGAAGTGGTAACTTATTCTTGTGGATGAAATTACCAAAATCCGAGCCAATAATCAGTACCATTCAGCAGAAATTGAGATAAAACGAAGCTCAGCGCTAGTAATGACAGCAGAATGGGTGACTTGGCGGATGTGAAGTATCCCAAATAATTTTTGTATGTGACAGAACCAATGTTTTGTTCCTCATGGCACTCCAAAGGTTTTCCTAAACGTGCGTTGTCCTCATACTGCTACTCACAAAATCCATTAGAAAATATGTACCCCTTAAATTCTATACTTTAAAATTAACCTCTCTGATTTCATTTGTTAAGCTTTGCTGTCTATTTTGCTCATCGGCGCTACTCGCATGATGAGACATAAAGGCTATCCCTTCCTCCATTAGTTCCTGATATGTTCCAGAAGCGGTAATGCTGCCCTAGCAACAAAAATTATTTTAAAAATTTAGATGTGGACTATACTGTGTACAAGAATTGTTTCTTGCGGGTTTGCTACATTTCTTGTACTGCAAAGCAAGAAACCCGAGGTGCAAGAAACTGCAAGAAACCACAAGAAATATGCGCCACCTAGCGAAATGTGCGCCCTATTTATGAACTATAGCGGCGGGAGGTAGCTTTTTGTGTCTTATATTTCTTGCAGGGCAAAATAACTACAAGAAACTTGTCCCCGAAACATCGTACACAAGAATTCTTAAAAATCTAGTAATTTACATACATATTTTCACCTCTTTCAAAACTATGATATGGTCTGCCAGCGGTAAATAGTGTAACTGATGCGTCACCAAAATTCTCAGCGATCCTTTCAAATACGATTTGATACAATTTTCGAAAATATGTCGGGACACGGAGCTATCCACGGCGCTCAAAGGATCATCGAAAAGGTAAATGTCCGCCTTCCTGTAAACTGCTCGGGCCAGGTTTACCCTTACTTTTTGCCCACCTGGAATGCATACGTATAAATAATTATGGATACATACATAGATACCGTGATCTGTGGCCTACCTGAAAGCCCGACGCCACTCTCTCCCACCAAAGTTCTATCGCCGTACGGCAGTTGGGTGAAATCTTGGCCTAGCGAGCATGCAGATATAGTCTCATCGTACCGCTTGTCGTCAAATTTTGTCCCAAATGTGATATTCTGACGAATGTCACCCGAGAAAATCCAGGCTTCCTGGGAAGCATAGGATATCACCCCGTTTGCAGATATCGATCCAGAACGTAGTGTTAACTCTGAGAGTAGACTTTGGAGAAAGGCGGTCTAAAAGTATTGTGTAAATTTTTTAAGAAATAAGTTGAGTAGTAATTCAATCAGGTAGATTTTTATGAACGTCTCACTTTTCCAGAACCTACGGAACCAACAATCATTACGACCTTGTCACCCGCAAGGTCAACTGACATCCTGTTTAATGCCACAGTTCCATTTGACCAACTAAATAAATACAGTGTTGCAAATTTCATGCCGATATTTATTTCTCGGTATTAAAGTTGCTACCGCTTGGTATTAAAATTATTATTTGCTATCGAACTGGTAAAAATTTAGTATGAATACCGCTTGGTATTATTTTAATATTGTATTTCTTAGAGTGTAATTAAGAATGGGGAAAAATTATTCTCAGAATTGCGCGAGTTTTTCTGATTTGCATATCTATTCGTATCTTTTTTGCTAACTTATATATTTAGCTAATTCACTTACCACGTGGTTGCAGTTACAAGTTTGACACCATAACTATTTCTGGGGTCGCTGCTGTTATAATTCCGATCGCCAATTGACAACTTTTGATTTTCACGGAACAATAGAAATTCTTCGATACGTTTAATTGACACGATTAATTCTCCAATACCGGAAACTGCTTGAGGAATGCAGTATACAGACACTTGGATTATTGTGTAAAGTACGGTCAATATGAAGAACACTTTATCAGCAGATAACTCATTTCCGAGCAAATAGTATGTCAATATTTCACCGAATGGGACTAATTTTGGCGCAAAACTGACCGCAGCATGGTGAAGGCCACGAATTACGCCACGCTTTCTGAGATCTTTGACTTCATTCCTGTAATCATAATCACATAAATATTTAATTGAACATTTTTTAAAACTAAAACTAAAAACCACATGAAAAACAGAAAAAGCACATTATATAAAAAATACTGTCAATTATCTATTTTTAGAATGTTCATACTTTCTAATTAAATCCACCATTGCAGAAAATGGCTGTTCCCACGCGTACATCTTGATGATACGAATCCCAAGAATAATATCATTCATTAAATTGCATCGTCTATCCGTCTTTAACACTATAGCTTGCCGAAATTTGACCAATATTTTTCCAAGGAAATCTTAGAAAGATAAAAATTATGAATAAACAACAACTTTCCAAGTCTAAAAACAAGAATTCCAACACTTACAATTCAACGGAATCAATAGAATGATCAAAACAACTCCACTCAAACTAGAAATCGCAATTTCTTGCCATAATAACACCATAAAAATTACGAACTGAATTGGACCCACGACAATGAACGGGATAAAATTCAAACTCGTGTCAAATCTGGAGACATCATTGGATAAAATGTTTATAATGTATCCGACCGAACTCTCCGATTTGGAGTGAAGCCGCAACGCCTGTTCAAATAAAATTCATCAGCATTAGTGTGGGTATAGTTCCGAACCGGCAATATCCGATCCTTATGATCGGATGGGATTTTTTAATCCGATCCGATCCGAACATCGGACAGGATCGGTCCGGATCGGAGCCATCGCTTGGTCAACTTTGTAACGGCTGGATTATCCGGTCGAATCGGATTACCAACACTAATTATATTATTTACTGCAAAAAAATTCATGAATTTAAACTAAACTAACCTTTCGATAAATTAAGGCTGACAGCCCGACCCTACATTTCATGCCAATGTGAGATATCACGAAATCACAAGGATGCAAAATTATGACATGGAGGAAAGTAGAGATGCAAATTCCTGCTGTGTAAACGTACGGCTCCCAACTTTCCTTTACGGCATCAGATTCTCCAAAAGATTTGATAAGAAGGCGAAGAAAAATGGGTTGCGATACCCTGAAAATAATTGACAATTATTTTACGTGCTCTAATTTTCCTAACAAAATGTATGTGCAATTAACGTACACCACAATCCATCCATCCAAACAGTAGAAGCCGCAAATGATTAAAAATTTACGCCCAAACAGTGCAAGTAATGGTCTTAGCAGGTTAGGTTTTTTTCCTTTTTTTGCACACGTATATTTTTCATGACTCCATGCGCTGTTAAAAGAAAATTAAAAAAAATGGTATTAATGAAATCACCGTCAGATATTTATTCATAATTTGCTCACGATTCTACCAAATCTCCCAAATTGTTGGATTCATCCTCTCGCAAAGTTTCGTATATGTCTTCCGTTTTTAAATCACTATGTTTTCCTTGTTTTAAAAGTGGGAACAACCACCAGAAAAATAATTTGGAAATGTAGGAAGCCTTGGAAAATGGATTTCTCACTAAAATTGTTTTTGTGGAATCCATTTTTTTTTTAATTTTTGTATTATTTTTGCAATATATTATTTACTGTGCACTGCAATCTGCATTCACTTACTGATGTGCATGCAAATTTTAGCTTTATCATGAACCTCGTGGTTAAATAAATAATCAATCAATTCAATTTAGCCTACGCATTTATGTATGCAGTTTAAAGGATGTTTTTATTGAATCATCAGATCCGTATTGAGGATAGCGTTGCATGTATTGGGAGCACTGTATGCCTGGAGATTAATATTATTATTGTTAAGTACTTATCCATAACACAGTCCACTATGCTATTTTAATCTTTTTCGCTCGCTTAGCATGCAAATTTACCTTTACGAGTTGTTTTTGTTTAAACAAAGTAAGTAACGGTTGTATCAATACGCAATAGCTTGCAGTCGCAACTTGCGACTGCAAGCTAACATTTTTAATTGAAAGGTGTAGTTTACAAAATTTTTATATGAAAAACTGTTCAGAATTATTAAAAATATTTTCGTAATCGTGAAAATATATTTGCATATATATGCACATATCTGCAAATTCAATACATGAACATACGTACATACATATGTAAATTGTATGCAAATTTCTAAATTGTACTTTGGTAATTTAGATGTGGCTTTTATTTTTCAAATTATGCATCTTTTCAAGTGTATTTTTGTAGTTGAATGTATTGCTTTATTTATTGAATAACAAAAAACACTATATACTTCTTAAATATATACATATTTTATTATAGTCGAGCCATTAAAATTAACGACATTTTTTTCATTTTTTATGCAGAAATGTGTTAAATTTTACAGCGTAGACCATAGTAAACCGTTAACTGGTCACGGATAATTTCTCATTTCGAAGTCATGAAGAAAATGTGGATTTTGTAAATTTTTGTAGATTACTAAATAACAAAACGAAAAACGAGGATAAGTTTAACAAAAATATACATACGTATGTATATGTAAATATGTGCGTGACATGATTTCCTGATTTTATAATTTTCGTGAAAGAGGGATTAAATAAACAATAGTTCATTAAATCTATATGCTTTTTGTAACAAGCCAAGCTAATACTTAATTTCATGCTAATTGTACATATACATTGTTTCATTTGTGCATCATTTCATTCACATACATAGTTTCAGAGTCTCTATTGATTGTGTTAAATTCTGAGTAATCGAAGTTTACTTTAATTTATGATCCTTAATACGAACGTGTTCAGATAACCCAAATTATTCATTCAATAAATTCGCATAAATTCATTTTTTCCCCTTAATCGATGATCCACCTCGAGTCTTACTCATGCATAATGTTTAGGGAAAGCCTCATACGTCCCACATTTTTTTAATTGGTTCGATTTCTTGGTAATACATTTTTATTACTCGACATTATTTGTGTATCAATTTCCAGCTAATCGTGAGCTATGTAGGAATGATGAGAACGTTATTATGTACAATGTTTACGGAGATTGACAAATTCAGTTAAATGAGAGTTTGTTGACTTAATGAGAATTTTCGCCATTCAGCTTCCTAGTTCAGAAGGTGACATTCTCGGTAGCCAACCCATTTTCGTATTTGGTTCGTGTTTTAAACAGAATCAAATGTTTTCCATGTCGTAATGTTTGTGATGAGTTCATCTGCACTCAGACTCAGACTCTGTATTCAAAGCACCAATTCGTAGAACCAATTTTTTCCGGTATGCTTATGTTTGTTGTTAAACGGTGAGATTATGTACATATGTATGTACATTTGTAAATAAGTATATCGATTACATACGAAGTTGGGTTCGATCGGTTTGTCCGTCCATGCCCGCATGTCTGTCCGTCCTTTCCTTCCTTCCCCTATGAATGACAACAAGGTCATGAGAAGTTATACTGGTTTATCCATCAGGATAGGTAATTTTGATCTGCGATGACCCAGTGACCGCCTCGACAGTAAAAAATGTGGAAATTTCGGATTTAGACGTTATTTATGACAGAAATCACCATCATTTTCATAAAAGATGACCCGGCGCCCTTTCTTTAGAAGGTCAAACGTCGAAAATGGTTAATTTTCAGGTTTCGTAGCAACCAATGCATCTCGATTTTTCTCACACATATGTTCGGCTACTTCATTATTTTGTGGGTAGAATAATGCCATCATTACTCTCACGCCTCGCAGTAAACTATCAGTTGCTGTGCATAACAAGATTAAATACATATGTACAAAATAATCGTACATTTTAGTATCTATTTAACCGTTTAATTCCGCACCATTTCCATCAAGGTGTGCATTTCCCTCAAAAACACATAATACTCGCATTTCAATATCAAACATCCTGACACGGATTGACATAATTCGCACTTCACGGAACATTAGTACATCTGCACTCTCGACACTGGTCAAACCAGAACTCATAATAGTCTCAACATTGACAAAGGAGGGATGCACTTGTTGACCATTGTGCAGATCAGGACTCGATCGATGAGTGCAAATGAACTGGATTGACCATTCGGTAGGCGAGACGTCCAGTTCAAATGCACTAAATGTGTACATACTCGTACAAATTTATACGTATAAATGTACTCACTTATTTATCACTGATGAACTAAGTACCTACGTGCTAAATACTATAAAAAGAAATGGCATGGGATGAAAAAATACTTAAAGTAATTTCTTGAATACTTTGGTACACTCGAAAAAGAAAACAAAAACGATTTTTTCTACAGTAGCTGACTCGTCTGAATTTGACGTAAGAAAATTAATTCCAGAGTATGGAGCAGAAGATATTGAGTGCAGTGGAGGAGCAATGGTAATTTTTATTTCATTTTTTTAAATTTTCACTCCTTTCAAAAATTCGTTTCGTTCATTTTAGGCAAGGTTGTGAATTAGGAATCATTTTGTGCTCAGTTATTGCAAAAAATTTTATTAAGTGCATTGAGCATACTTTTACCAGGGTTGCAGAAATCTCATCTCACCTTCGTAAATCTCATCTCACTGACAATGGAACCTTTTTTCAAGCTACACGAGATAAGCTTAGTGACCTATGCTAAAAAATCAAGCTAAAAATTAGAAATCACGTGGTACTTATCTTTCCGTTGAATGGGCACTTGGAGGTCAGATATTTGAGGGCAAAGTTCAGAGTAGTGGCCTGTTTTTTTCTCAAGCGGGCGAGCGGAGGAGTCAAAATTTTCTCCTTCAAGGTCACTCCTCTCCCTTCACTCTCACACGCTCGCACTTCATTCAATGCATATTATTTTTGACAAAATTTCACAATCTCGTAAATCTTCATATATGTAAGTTTTTACATATTTACGAATATTTTTGCTTTTTAAAGTCCTCTTATCCACCAATCCGTAGTAAAAAAGTGACGATGGGTTCAATAAATTATAACTTATAATTTAGCATATATATTTATAGTAAATATAAAATTATATGAATGCATGTACCAACTTACGAGATTTTGGAATTTTGTCAAAAATAATACGCATTGAATGAAGTGCGAGCGTGTGAGAGTGAAGGGAGCGGAGTGACCTCGAAGGAGAAAATTTTGACTCCTCCGCTCGCAAGCTTGAGAAAAAACAGGCCACTACTCTGAACTTTGCCCTCAAATATCTGACCTCCAAGTGCCCATTCAACGGAAAGATAAGTACCACGTTGTTTCTAATTTTTAGCTTGATTTTTTAGCATAGGTCACTAAGCTTATCTCGTGTAGCTTGAAAAAAGGTTCCATTGTGAGATATAATGAGAAATAGTGAGACATGAGAAATATGAGATTTAGTGAGATTTGTGAGCCATGCACTAGCGCCACCTAGCGGACGGGGTCATGAACTACAGGTTTATCTCATCATTTCTCATATTTCTCACTCAGCCCCAACTGAGGAGGGGAGCTTCACCACCTGCCCCTCTCACATCTCGATGCCCTTTGGATATGTGGTAGGGTCCCATGAGTGTACTAAACCCCTGAAGTGGTTTGACTCCATGGCCACAGTTACGCCCGCCACACCCACTCAAAGGCGCCGAAAACACGAAAAAAGCCCTGTTTTCACTTGTTCAAACCCTCGCCAAAATTCCAATTTTGCTCGGATTTTGGTAAAATTTACATTTTTGTAATCCCAGATACTTGCTTGATCATATCCAGTAGCAATCTCAACTTTTTTGAAATTTTGAATTTTTTCGAATAATTCATAAGCCCAAAAATGCCCGAAAATTTCAAAAATTTCAAAAAAGTTGAGATTGCTACTGGATATGATCAAACAAGTATCTGGGATAACAAAAATGTAAATTTTATCAAAATCCGACTAAAATTGGATTTTTGGTGGATTTTTGAAGTTGGTAACTTTTGTGGTTTTCATCCCTTTGAGTGGGTGTGGCGGGCGCAAATGTGGCCATGGAGTCAAACCACTTCAGGGTTTTAGTACACTCATGGGACCCTACCACATATCTAAAGGGCATCGAGATCTGTGAAGGGCAGGTGGTGAAGCTCTCCTCCTGAGATAAATGATATAAATCATTAAATCTCACTAAATCTCACTCGGTGATATATATCACTTGTAACCCTGACTTTTACGTATATCGCAGGCTGTACATACATAAATATGTACATATGAAATTTGTAATTACAAATGTCTAGTTAGTCAGGTGTTTTAATCAGTTGACTCGTGAATTTATTTCGTAAAAAAATTATCAGCCAAAAAATTGACGAAGGGCACCTTATAAATGAAAAACCTGCATTTTATCTTCGCAAATAAGTTCATAAACAAAAATTACCTAAGAAATGTTCGTTATGTGGTTACACATCTTACATACGAAGAGGGACATGCATTGCTGCACTGATTATTTTCCCGTACATAAAAAATTATTCAATTAATCCACAATAAATCCGGTTATCCAAGTTGTACCTTGTAATGCGAAAGGTTAAATTGTAATGGGAAGGGAGGATGATGTGAAATTGATATGTTCCCTCTTATATGTACTTATGTCCCTATTCGCGACCTAATTCTAACTTCCTGGATGAAAGTTATCCCGACTTTTCGGTGAAGAGCAGTTAAATGATAACGGCAACACAAAGGGGGGTTTCTCTTAAATAACTAATATTTATTTTAAAGCTGGAATATGAATAATTTTACACGCTATAAAAATATTTAAAGAAGAAGAACCCTAAAATAAAGATGTTGCTCATAAGGAGGTATTAGACTGAATGAATTCCCAAAAAGAGAAAAAGAAGGAGGAAAAAAAACTGAGACGAGAGCAAGGTTGCCTCGTTCTTCCCGAGTGGGAGAAAGATCTTCCGGCTATTGCCAGATGGCAGATGGGATAGATTTCTCCCCGGGTGGGTCGGATTGAGACCCGTATCACTGGTGTGATCAGCACCAGTGGTACGGGTTACAACCTACATAGATAATTACAGGAAAATACCAAAAACAAAAAAAAACTGACAAAAACGAAAAAATTCAGACAAACAAGAGAAAGCTATAAAATCAATGTCCCTAATTATTATTAAACTTCAGGTTCATGCATTCCATCCGTGTTGAGACGAAAACGGAGAAAAATAGACTTTCATGAACATCTTTCAATTCCCATTTCATATTTCCTCTCACTGCAATTATTTTTAGCAAGCTACATACATAAACCTCTCGTATTGCAAAATAATCATAAACTTTGCTGACTAACCGCATAATAATCTAGATAAATACCAAAATCATCAAATTTCTTAATGTCTTTCATGGAACTGTATAATTCATTTGGTATTTCGTTTCACAGTAATTAAATCATCTTCATGAGCGCCTACATACATAACATTTTTTCATGAAGGGTGATCATGAACGAAACCTCAAAACCTCAGTTCTGATGCGGATGCTATATTTTATTTTTTAATGAAAATTGATTCATCACATTTTAATTTGTTTAAATAGGTTTTGCAATCCAAATTTAACCACTCCGAATTTTAAACTGGGTCGTTCGTTAATCAAAACTTAAGTGATTGAAGGTGATCAAGTGTGACGGGTTCGCTAGACCATATAACCACTTCATTTCTATGATAATGATTTTCTTTTACGTGCTTATCATTACGCCAACTTTTTAACGAGTTGACAATGACAACTTTGTTAAAAACATCACAACGTAAATGAGACGGGTTTCCTTCCATAAAATTCTTAATGAATTACGAGATGCATATCACTGTGCAAATTAAAAGTTTATAAGAAATCAATGTCAGTTTAAGTATTAAGAACTGGAGTTATAGAGATACATAGTCGAATAGATTTATACATACATATGTGCCTATTCATATTTGTGTATGATTTTCGTGCAAATGTACTTATCGCGGATGAGTTACCTAAATACTTGCTACAAATAGCAAGTATAAAAAGAAATGGAGCAGTGCAAAAATGCTTATTTCAATTTTTTAAAGGCTTGCGACAGTTACGACAGGTGTTAAAAAAACAGAACGCAAACTAAACAATTCCTTTCTCCTCTGAATCATCATTCATAGATTAGGATACAAAATGCAGAGTTTATTCGAAGAACAGTGGTACTTTTTTTAAATTTTATTAATCACCTTCTTCCCCTCAATTTTTGTCATTTTTGAAAAGCGTCTCAAGTACTTGCTCAAAATTTAGATTATAGAGTCTCCAAAGCTTACAGACCAACTTACTGAAATTAATTACGTGCCTTAGCTCATCTGTGAACAGGCTTTTTGTACTCAGTATTTAAAAAAATACAGATTAAATTTTTATGAAAAACTACAGTTAGGCTAAAACCAAACTACAAAAATAAAATATTTACATATTCACTTCGTTTTTACGTAAAAAGTGTAATTTTAAACATGTTAAACCCTATTTATTTTAAATTTCAGGCTCAAGCTCCTAATCCTATTCGCCTTATCGGTCACCTTCATCTGGAAGAAAATCTGGCCCACCACCCACTCCGCCATTCCCCCCAACCTCAAAACCGTTCCCATCGTCTCCGGCGCCCTCCCATTTGTCGGACACGGCATCGCCTTCTCCAAGGACATTGTCGGATTCATTTCCAACTGCTATGAAAAATACGGCAAGATTTTCCGCATCAAAATTTTCCGCGTCGACATGGTCGTAATTTGCGATAGGACGATGAACAACGAATTTTTCAAGGCCACCGAGGACAAAATGTCGCTTTACGATGTCCTCACCCGCCTCTACTTCGCCGACGCTTTCTCCGACGAGCCCACCTCCCTCCCAAGAATTATCAACGTCGTAAAAAAATCCATTGCCGTCCGGTACGACACTTTCGCCCCCAAAATCGAGCACGAAGCTAGAAAAATGATAGCCAGATTGAGAACGGAGGTTTCCTCGGGTAAGAAAATTGACCTGATTAAGGAAATGACCCGTTTTGTAGCGACAACTAGTGCATCCTGCTTCATTTCTGTGGAGTTAACGGACCAACTATTCGCAGTTTTACTGAAATTTACCCATCTTCTCAATTCCGTCGTCGTGCTGACCTATTTCCTTCCAAAATGGTTGCTCCGTCTCCTCGTCAACCCATTCTTGGCTCGTCTCCGTAAACAGATAACTTCCGTGTTATCCCCGGAAATTGAAAAATACAGGGAAAATTTAGATAAATCCGATTCCCTCATTTTACGAGCGGCTGTCGATTACATTGACGAGGAGAGTGGGGCGAACCTCACAAATCAAGAGATTGGCGACATCGTCGTCTGTCTTTTGTATGTTAGCTCGGAAAATACGGCGCTAGGGTTGACCAACACGGTGACAGATTTAGCCTGCAATACGACCTACTGGGAAAAATGTAAGCGGGAAGCGGGTCTCTATTTAGGTGGGGATAGTACCGATATCAAAGGTCTCTTCGCCAGCCCCTTGATAAATGCTTGCGTCATGGAAAGCGCTCGTCTCAACTCGCATATTTTCGCCCTCAATAGAAAACCGTTAGATAAGCTGGCATCCATCGGTGGGTATCATGTCGGTCATGCGGAAACCATTGCGATGTGTGAGCCCATGTTGATGGTGCATGCTTCCGCACAAGAAATTTTTTCGAATCCTAAAATCTACAATCCTGACCGCTTTCTTGGCCCTGCGAAGGAATCCATGGCACCGTTAAGCGTCATGACGTGGGGCGCCGGTGTTCATCTCTGTCCTGGGAAAATGTTTTCTATTTATGAAATCAAAATGGCATTGGGATTAATTTTGCTAAATTTCGAGTTCGAATTAGAAAAAGGTTCCATTTCAAAAATTGATTACTTTTCCCCCTCCGCCTTTGCTGAGAGGAAGGTGCAAGCCAGTCTGAAAGTTTTGGTAGAGGAGAGTTCTTCATCCCCACAAAATAAGGGTGACCTTGCAAACGTCATTGTGCTAAAAAATGGGCAAAAATGTCACTATTATCGAGGTGAAAGTACCACCGGGAGTCAGGACGGGTGGCTGCTGCGAGACTTTATTTCCCGTGAGGAGCAAATTTCCTTGTATCAGAATATTTTCGAATTGTCCAAAAATTCTAAAGAACACGATGAGATTTGGAAAATTCCATCGGATAAGGTTTACCCTTTTGCTTATCATAACTTGGTTTACACGGGAGAAAGTAATTGTCCTCCTCCAACGGCGTGGTACGAATGGGCAGCAAATTTGTGGCAACTGTTGGAATCCGATAAAAAACTGGTTTCATTTTCTGGCCCTGAAATCAAGGGATTTAATTCGCTCTATGCACAATTGTATGGGGTCGGAGGGTCGATGAAGTTGCATAAGGATGAGCATGTCTCGTGGGGAATTAGTGTCAATTTGGGGGCATCGACCACCTTCGTTTTTGGTGGGGAAAAAATCTTGCTGCATTCTGGGGACGTTTTTATTGCGGATTTCTCCCAAGTTGAGCATGGGGTTGAGGCTGTGCATGAAACTTCCATGCCGGACTGGTTTTCGAAGGAGAGTGGAATTGTGGAGAATTTTGATAGGGTGAGATGCAGTGTGCAAATTCGAGATATTTCGAACCTTTCGGAAAGAAATTTCATTACGAGGGAAGAGTTTACTAAACTTCTCAAGTAAAATGGAGCCAACAATTTTTTCATGCTAATTAAATATCTTATTTGGTTAAGTTGTTTGTTTTTCCTAAATTTGCATGGTTTTAAATATTAAATATTTATTGATGTGGGCAATCTCATTTGTAATAGGTTATGTAATTTTTTAACTTTATGCTTATGCTATTTGTACATACCTGATTAAATATGTACTAAAACAATGCTATAATTTCAATATCAAATTGTAAATCAATCCATGGGAATTGCAGATATGTAAATTAGCAGTCCAATGCTATTTTCTCTTACGTGGTGAAATGTGTGTAAATATGACCAAATTTTTGTATGCCAAATCGAGTAATTTGCATATGCAGTTTTATGAACGTAGAAATAAACTTAAGATATGCTAACTGCAACCAACTAAAACTTTCTCTCGTATATACACAAATGAATAAATAAATTTTATAATAGCATTTAAATTATCTTTTATGTAAATTATGATAAGTGAACTTAATTAGAAATCTACTCATCAGCTTTTCCCCAATTTGTTGATAAATTTATAAAACTTTTTTAGCAAATTAAGCCATCATAATTCATAGAATAAATATTTGTGACTAATTCGAAATATAAATAAAATAGAATGCTTTCAACTTCAAGACGATTTTAGTAAATGACTGAATTTATTTAAGGCATTTGATGTATGCATTCACATTGAGTAACAGTCAAGAACTTAAAGGAACAAGAGATTACATAATGCTAAAATTAAAATAATTGCATTTGTATGTATATTTAACATCATGTACCCAACACAAAAAAATATTTAGATTTTCATGAAAATCTTTCAATTCCCATTTCCGATTTGCTCTTCTTGCAATTAGTTTTATGAGTTTAACGTCTCACATTACAAAAGGCAGACAAACTCTTCTGACTCATTGTATAGTAATCTAAAGACAACGCCAACTTCATGAGATTTCTTAATCTTTTCTCATGAGAAACCATCATAAAAATAAAAAAAGCTAACAAAAAAGCTAATCTGGGTTCTATTTGTCATGAGAAATGTGTCACTACTGCATTCCAGCGTGATCCGTCGTTCCGGAGCCAATTCGTTTGTCTACATACTCACTTATGTACTTATCAATGTTTAACTGTACTTTTAACAATAGTTTGCCGTGGACAGATTACGTAGAAAAGGGATATGAATTGTTGTGGGCGTCTCATTCCGTCCCCATTCGCGAAACGTTGACATCCAGTCGTATATTTATCTCTCGCATTTATCTGTCGACATTTGATTTTTAAATTGCGAATCGGATAATTTTGAAATTTTGAAATTCTTGACAATCCGACAACAATGAGCGCTCCAACTGAACCACCCTTCACAGGGTGGGACTGGGCAATTGTGATCACAACGCTGGGAATTTCTATGCTGATCGGGTTATACTTTTGGTGGCAGCGTCACTCCAAATCTATCAAAATTCAGGGCGATCAAAGCAATCGTCTCCTCATCGGAGATGGAAAGATGAAACCACTGTCAGTTTCGGTGTCAATGTTGGTCACGTACTTTTCAGCAATTGCAATTATTGGTAAGGTGCAAATATTTTACGTAATATTGGCCCTCACGACAAATCTCAAAAAGTACGCGTATCAACATAGAATGAGAAGTTTGAAAAAGTTGCAAAATTTAGCAAAACTTTTTGTTTGAAACCATGCAACTTTAGTTCTCAAATTTACCCCGAAAAATGTTCATGTTTTTATTTTGAAAAATTATTTCACAAAGTATTTGCTAAATAAGTTCTAATAATGTGAAGTAAAACGTTACCGTGAATATGCCCAATGTGATTACACAATCTGAATTCTCAGATGGCAGTGAATTCATTTCTCATAGTAGTATTTTTTTAATTTCAGGATATCCGGAAAAGTTGTACACAATCTCTATCGTTTTGTACCCCGTCATCGCTGCCACGATTACCTGCTGCACGGGAACTTTGATCAGTGTGATGGCACGCCATTTGGTCAAGGACAAAGCCCAACTTGATGGTCCCAAAGATCTGGACAGGTACTTGCATCCCATGGTTTTAAAGGTCAGAGCCTTTCTCCGAAAGAAAAGTGTCCCCGTTTTGGGCAATACTGGACATCAAGAGGGGGAACATACTGACGATAAGAATTGTCAAATCCCATTGAACGAACTTTAAGATAACTTAAGGGTGTTAAATTACGATAGCTTTAAGCCGCTAAATATTTATGTATTTATGTAAATGCTTTATTCCCTATTTTTCTACATACATACAAATGCATGTTTTTTAAATGATTATTTGCATTAAACGGAGCTTGCAATAAATAAATGTTGATGATTATAAAATATTTATAATAAATCAGAATCTAATGATTCCAACGTGTAACACTAAAGCGCATATTTAAGGCAACAAGAACTTGACATACAGTGGAATTTCTTTTAAAAAACCTCATAAATAAGCTGAATGTGTGAGAATTGGTTTTCCTGAATTTCTGCAACATATTACATACACAACTAGATTAAAATCATCTTGCGTACGTGCTTAAGCATATACGTACATACATACATAAATCAGATAAACAGTCGTGACGCACTTATTCGTCTATGTACATATGTATGTGTGCCGTAGGCTGCGTAAAAACTTAACTAAAAAATATGTAGTGCTTACTGGAAACAAATTGTTTCTCACGTTAAGTAGTCGCAAATACAAGTCGATAATTAGTCACGTATACATACATTCATCAGACAGCTTGGATATGAAACCTCATTTATGTATCAATGTATCTCATGCAAGTATTTATGCATCTCACCATTAATGCACTGCTTTTGTTACTTTTTAAGTACACATCCTTAAATAAGAATGGGACAAAATGTGGGAGAAAATACTGCAGTTTTGAAATTATTATTCAGGAACATTCCATTTATGGCTTTTATTATAGATGGATTTGTAGATATTGAAAACGATTCTACGAAAACGAATTACATACATTAATAATTCTCAAACGATTAATCAATTAAATTTATTATCATTTTTTGCACTGATTCATACATTCGTTATACATACATAACAAATCTCATGAAACACGTTTATTTACTTACATCATTTTGAATACAAATTAAAGTAAAAATTATTGCCATTCTAATTGATAAATATTTCATTCTGAATTGAAATTTAACTTCATGTTGGATTAATTGTAGTCCACTCGAATTTGGTCCTTCATTCCGTATTTTATCGAATCCCTGAAAGTATACAGTGACCCGTGCAACGCTGAATCCACAAAATCCACGAACGTCTCGACCTGGACGTATTTCTCGCCAAATTCTGTGAGTATGAATGTTCTCAGTTCTCCGTAATCCTTCACGTAGTCCCTGCATTTCAAAAATTATTGATTTGTATGGCTACATATAAAACTTCACAATGAACTACCCGATTGTATTACACTTTACACATAATCAATGATAAATACCCAACCAGTCCAATTTTTAGCTTAGGAGGGGAGCTTGCGAGGTTGATAATAACAGATCCTGATGCCCTTTGGATATGTGGTAGGGTCCTATGAGTGTACTAAAACCCTGAAGTAGTTTGACTCCATGGCCACATTTGCGCCCGCCACACCCACTCAAAAATGTCCAAAAAACGCTTTCACCTCAGTTTTCACTCACTCAAGTCCACGCCAAAAATCCAATTTTACTCGGATTTTGAAATTTCTTTCACCATTATACTCCCAGATAGTTGCTTTCTTCAATCCAATATCAAACTCAATTTTTTCGAAATTTTTAGTATTTTTAAAATTTAAAATTCTGAATGAGCATTGTTGTAGTCATCAACAAAACAAATTATGTTTGCGAAATAATCATCAATAAAATTGAGTTTGATATTGGATTGAAGAAAGCAACTATCTGGGAGTGTAATGGTGAAAGAAATTTCAAAATCCGAGTAAAATTGGATTTTTGACGTGGATTTGAGTGAGTGAAAACTCGAGTGAAAGCGTTGTTTGGGCATTTTTGAGTGGGTGTGGCGGGCGCAAATGTGGCCATGGAGTCAAACTACTTCAGGGTTTTAGTACACTCATGGGTCCCTACCACATATCCAAAGGGCACCAAGATCTGTTATTATCAACCTCGCAAGCTCCCCTCCTTAGTGAGTCAGGGCTTATGAAAAAGCTGTTCCGGTATATCCGTCATGCTATGTACACTCATTTAATTTTGGACTTTTATTAACTGCGGAGTTACTTAATTGTTGGATGGCTTATGTGACGATACTACGACCCACTCGGGCTACATGAAGTCTTTATTGAGTAATTTTTTTGGCATCTAGAATTTCTGTAACTCAGAAAACTATAAAGACACGCACCCAATCAGTTTCAACTCTTCATCCACCGCATCGTTGAGAGATGTCCCCTTCCTCAGCTTGAACATAATGATGCCATCTTCCTCCCCGTATAACAAGTCTTTCTGCAGCCCGAGGAGATCGTTCATGGTCCCGACGAATTTTTCCGCCATGTCCAACCATCTAACGAAGACGGGATTGCACTTAATTATTTGAGGCAAATTGATACTCTCAAGGATCGTAATGATATTGATAAAGTTTCCGAATCCAGCTTCCTGGCGACAGATATTAAAAAAATAAATATATAATTAGACAAGAAACGCAAATATTTGCACTCACGGCGTCTTACTAATGCTAAGTTAGCATATCAATTCGTTTAGAAAATTTGCGACCCCTTTATCGTTCGTAACTCACCTTAGTTTTAAAATAGCGGTACGTATCCACACAAAACGAGTCCAGCTTTCCCATCCTCGCATTTGTGAAGGACCATCGGACAGATTCCGAAGTTAAAAGGAAATCAATTTTGAAAGGTGCCCAAAACGTGCCTAGCGTCATGCTATCATTAATTTCTAGGGACTGAGCGTATATGTCTTCGAAAGAATTCGCAATCGCTACCAAGAATGGTTGTTCCTTAATCATGTCCGTGTTCATGGCCTTTGTGGCTAGTTGGTTGAGGTCTGGATGGAATAAGTCAGGAAAAAATTACTTGTTAAACATAGTTAAAAAATGTGTAAATAAATAATATGTTAGAAAACTGGCAAAGCTTCGATATATAAAATTCGATACCAAGTTTGTTGTAACATTTTGAAAACCAATTTCGCTAGTTTTTGGGCGAATGTCATCACATTTTGTTCATATAAATATCTAGCTTTGATTAGATGCATGTGAGGTAAAGAAAAACTTGATGGTCTTCAAAGAATTGTTAATGCCCAAATTCATGGAATTTTTAACCTCAAATAAATAATGGATTTTGAAACCCGGTTGCAAATTTTTGGCAAATTTGGTAATTGTGTCACCACCTGGACCATCTGCCTCATTTTGCTTGCCTCGTGAAGATTAGTTGTAAAGATTACTATCACAACAACACGTAAAGTTTGCAATTTGTTCGTTTGTCGTAAAAGGTGCAGAATTACCTATTTCGTCCGTTCCCCCTCCAAATCCTTTCACCTCGAACATTTCGCCAATTTCTTTGCTCACCAGGTCGAAATATTGTATCTTCTTCAACTCCAAAGAACAATATCCATCGTCTTCGCCCTTCGTGTTATCATCGTACCAATCGTCCATGATAAATCCTATGATGAAGTAGTAGCACAAAATACGAAATTTTGCCTCCTTTACAGAATAACTAGGGCAGATTCGCAATATGTACGAAACGGCGTGATTCGCCAATCGTGCACCATATTTGGGGTTGACGAAGGATGAATAATTGTCGGAAATCCATTCTTCAAGCTCTTCCGTGACGGCAATGATTTCCGGCGTGATTTTCAAAATATTTCCCAGGTTGGCAGCACTGCAGGCAAATTAATGAGTATGTAAATACGTAAATTTTTGCAGGGTTATGGGACACTTTTGCAACTAAGGTATGTATATATGTACATACATACATATGTGTACATATTAGGTTTGAGTTACATATGTACGTAACTCTCTCAAATGGCTCAACAGTTTTTTACTCGTCGGTCCAGATCGCAATTTTTGTAAGACATTTGTTAAAGAGAAGTACTAGAATTTTAGGAAATATAAAGTAGGTACATATATATTGATTAATGTTTCAATTTCCAATAAAATTTGTGTAGGTTTTCCTATCCTTAGACAAAAACTAATTTACGAATTCATAAATTCATAAATTTGCAAAAGTCACTGCAAAGACTTAGACAAATCTTCTAACAAGATTTAAGCATATCCGTCACTCGTAGACAAACCTCAAATTGGTCAGATAATTTTAATTGAGAATTTTCAATGCAATTTTTTTTAATCTCGTGGAGAAATTGTTTGGTAAAAGATTTTACATTGATTCTATAAAATTTATTAATTTTTGAATTTTAAATATTTTTTTCGAATTTCTAAAAAAATACAAGTGTCTTCATCTTACCTGTAAATTTGTGGGACAAAAAAGTCAAACTCTTTGTCCAGCTTGGTCAATTCAATCGATCTAATTGCATCTTGCACCTTTGTGCTCAACTTTTCCGAAATCTGGTCTAACTTTACGGAAAACTTGACGCGACAAAGGTCCAAATCAGTGGGAGACATTGTTGCAAGTCACAAATTAATCCCTTCCTTGGCGATATGTTAAAACCTACTAAAATCAGTAATTAATTCATTCGACTTAATTGTCGGTATGAAAAAAAGTTTTACCACGTCATCAGACTACGAGTTATGTAAGTGGTACTCAAATGATGTCATTTAACGCTGGGAATTATTTACATAAGGTAAAAATCCTCACTTTTACCCCTACATTTTCATCACATTCTACAAATGCAGGGTTCCTGACACTTTATGCATTTTGTTCTTTTGCCTTTTTAATTTGTTGTACAGCATTACAGGAGAGTAGGCATAGCAGTATGCCACCCGAAGTAAAATATATATGTATGCATAATTAAGATTTGTTCCAATTTAACAGTCCAACAAAAATATAACTTTATTCAACCAAAATTAATAATTTTGCCAATTATGAAATGGGCAACGAATTGATTTATTTTGCAACAACTTTCATTAAAATGTACAACAAAATAATTAAATTTCCAAATAAGAAATAAACCAAATCCTTAAGTACTTCAAATTTTACAATAAATAGGAAGGTATAAATAGTTAGTCAACAATCAAAGCCTTTCTAACTAACTTTTTTCGACCGTGCTTAGGTTTGCTTCAATGACATCGGTTTTAAGATTGTCCGGTACAGCAATTATCTTTCTAATTAGGCAAATTCCAACAATATGCTTGCATATATATTCTTGTTTGAATATAGGGCAAGAACAAGTGGAAGAAATCCAGTGATGCAATTTAAAATTGATAATCCAGAACGCCGATTTACTTCAAGCGTACGACTCAAACTTTTTCCAAGGCATTCTTTTGATTAACCCAAGGATTCTGTCAATTTTATCCGTTCGAATAGATTGCTGGAAAATTGGGGTCAGAAATCAAGGCAGCGTCCAAATTCTGATGCAAAATAATTTTTTAAATTATTTCCAGTGATATTTGACCAAAATTTGGGCGAGTTTGAGTCAACATCCAAAATCAACAAAAAAGTACATTTTTGCTCGTATCGCGAAAACTGACTATGCGCCACCCCAATAGTATTACGGATTTTTGATCTACTCAATTTTACGCAACTTTTAAGGTATCTACTTGAAAATCGTTAGAGCGCGAAAAAACACTATTTCATTGTATATATCTATCTTAATAACAAGGAATGGTCTGACAAAACTGGAATGTGAATGGGAAAGGAATGAGAGTTAGTGATGGTAATTGTGAATGATGAAAATCCATACCCATATCTATCCATTTATGCATGCTGTCAATAATATGATATGTAAAATTTGGTTGGATGCTTTTACATTTTCGTTGGACACAAAAATTAAACCCGTTGCCCATTGCATTATTGGCCAAACTATTAATTTTGGTTGGAATAAACTAAATTTTTGTTGGATGGTATAAAATTGACCCATATTTTGACACATTATTTACTCACAATTTATGTAATTAGCAAATTGATGTTCCTTACATATTTTGAAGCAAATAATTGTCGCCGATTAAAAAACACGTATAAGCAGCTTGTGCTTATTCCCACTTTTTAAAGTAAAAAAAGAACACACACTTACATAATAAAGACCAAAATGAAATGCATTAAGCAAAACTGAGGTTTTAGAAACCCTGGTGAATAGATTGCGTCGCGTGGGAAATGCCTTTTTAATTTGTACCACATTAATCAACCTCGTAAGTATATATCGGTGTGTACGTGCCTCAAGTTAAACTTTTCATTCCGTTCAATGTTGCAATATACACTTTTACATACAAAATGTACAATTCATTGGCTTAGGTACGTAAGTATCATGCAGGTTCAGGGTTGTGTTCAAGGTCCGTAATGAGGCAGATATGGATCAGTGAAAACATGTCTCTGATGAGCAAGTCATTGGAAGACGATTCTAAACGATTCTAAATACATAAATAGGGAAACACATTACTTGAAAACAAGTCAAGTTGACAGGTATGTAGCAACGCCAGCCCCTTGCAATCAAATCTGGGCTGTTCCACTTTGCAAACAAGTTGCACATACATAAATCTGCACTGCCAATATTAAAAGTAACTCCAAAATTCCCACAATCCCTTCAATTTCGCAACACTGGGAATTAATCCTTATGCCACCTAAGTATTTCCCTTTTACCACTAACGAAATCCTACACTGAAGTAAATTCTTAATTTTAATCGTTTAAAACCAAGTGAATGTTGCGAAATTTTTTTCCTGCGTTTTTTAACTCAGATTTTGATTTCCCACAAAAACACTTAATCAATTCTTAAGATTCATCTTAATTTTTTGGGACGCACGTCACTTTTTCACCGGCTTTTCCACAAATATGTATCTATTCCATATTCATGGTGAGGTGCTTCCTGGTGAGAAATATTTGCTAAGCAAGTTTACACCTACATGCTTTTCCTACATGTTTGTATGTAACAATACCATTTTCTTAGCAATCATTAAATACATGATTATGCTTGTACCTAATTAATCAGCAAGTTACTTACACACTGGGATCTTTAGCAAGATAAAATATAAATGATACCCGATGTCAAAATTATGTAACCTTATGTAACGAAATAAAATACGATCACTCATTTATTTTCCCATATAAGTCTGACCCACACTTGGACTTCGACCATTCGCTCAAAATTACCAGTAGATGTAACATTTCAAGAAACATAATTCCTTAAAAAATACCAAATATCTACAAAAAATACAAAAATAATACACATAATAATACAAAAATACCAAAAACATGGAAGATTACTCGTTATCCTTGTTGGAAATTTTGGCAACGGCTGTGGCAAGAATGGGCCTAATTCCGGAACACATTGCCGTCATCATGGACGGGTTAGTAATAGGATTTCGAATTTGATGTACATAAAAACTTGATGTGTGAGATTCTCAACATTTTTAATATTTAGCAATCGTCGCTACGCAAGGAGCAAAGGATTGAAAACTATTCAAGGACATCAAGCGGGGTAAATTAATTATTTGAAGGATCAGAAAATCTGAACCTACGCTTTAGACATGCAAAAAAAATTGCATATGCATTGCTGTAATGTCACTTTCAGAGCCGCAGTGTCCAGCCGTGTGGACAAGTGGGGCAGGGCGGTAGGATGTAAAGAGGTCACCGTTTATGCCTTTTCATCCGAAAACTTTAAGCGTACCAAGGAAGAAGTCGACGATTTGATGGAGCTCATGTGCTGGAAGACCGATACCATGTTGCAAGATGTGTAAGAAATCTTAAGAAAATTTCATAAATGGGAAAGTATATATATAGGTTCAATTCGAATCATTTCAAAATGTTCCCGTTAAAACTGTAAATTTATTTAATGCATGACAACTGAATATGCAGTGACACTGTTTAAAAAATAATAATAAATACGACAAAAAATACATTTTCGGACAAATCTTCCAAGTGAAATATGCAGGCATAATCATATAATTTAGCTTGCCTTAACCTACTATTTTTTTATTTTAGTGAGACCGGAAAAATTACAGACGTGAGTTTCAATGTGATCGGAGATTGGGACAAGGTTCCGCATAAATTGAAATGTCGCATGGCCAATTTGGTGGAGAAGACGAAAAACTTTAAACCCTACAAGCTCAATGTCGCTGTGGCGTACACAGGTACGGGAAATTATGAGGCATAAAGATTTCATACCATTCACTTTAAACAATTAGTCGCAAGAAGGGGTGGCTGTTTGTTACCTATTCCAAATGAAGTGCACATGATGTACCAAATTGAGTCATGATAACATTAGATTTCCTAAGAATGTGCAAACTTATGCGCATTTACGCATAAGTAAATTACACACCATTAGTTAATCCTAAGCTTCATTCACTCCATTTTTTCCTCAGGTCGGGAAGGCATGCTGCGTAGTTTGAAAGCATTTGAAGGTCTCAAATGCGACGAAACAGCGACAGAGGTCAATCATAATTCGGACAAGGGACAAACCCAGCAGCCAAAATGGAACGAGTATTTGGTCGAACAGGCCCAAAACATGGCCAACATGAGACCCGTCGATATGTTAATTCGGACCGGGGGAGATCTGCGACTCTCCGACTTCATGTTGTGGGAGGCGAGCCATGCTTATGTCCACTTCACTCCGAAAACTTGGCCAGAACTTAGTTTCTCTGCTTTTATGCACGCCATTTTCATGTATCAAGTGCATCGAAGACAGATACCAAAACCGGTAAGGATATTGACCTCCATAATTTAATTTATGTAAGTCTAGCACAGTAACAAAACATGGAATTGCGCTGATATGGATTAAATAAACAGCGCTGTTTCATGACAGTTCCAGTGCCGTAAAACGTTACTGGTTGTGGTTAGATATTATTGTACGTATTGGGTTGAAATTTCAAAGAATTTTATTCAATCTACTAAGATTTCCGCGAAGGATTCTCTTTCCCTGGAAGAATTGAGATACACTGAAAAAACTTTACAAGGACCCCGTGCTGTGATGTGGGCAAAGAATGCACGTTTTGCAAAGAAAGACGCCCAGGTTGAGAAAAATAGGAAGCCTTTCTATCCCTCGAAAACATATCTGGACTCTCTGCAAGATCTGCTTAGTTTTTAGGCGATGCGTACATAGTAACCATATCATTGTGGAAAAACTGCAAAAGTATTACTTTTGAATCAAGGTTTGATTATTAAACTTTGTCGTGTATAAAATGGTCATGCACGACCTTACTTTTCATATACAGAAATACATTACATTTAAAAGGTTGAGCTTTCTGGTGGCATCTGTACCATTCTGGTTAAATAATATAGTGGAATTTTATGTAAACGAAAAAATAAATATATAAAAATATATGTCCCTAAAATAGTTTTAATTTTTAATTTAGTTACATCTCGTTAATTAATAATTAAACGGGTCCGAAAAAGTGTGAACAGGATAGAAAAATCAGAATATGTATTTGTGTATGGCATAGATAATGAATATTTACATATTTACATAGCACATTACTAAATAGTGTATCTACTTAAAATTAGAATGCATGGCTTTACCAAAGCATTTTTTTATAGAATTGTTGCACTTTCATAATATATGTATCAATCAAGGTTTGACTTGCAAATGTATCTTTCAGAAGCATAAACATTTCCTCATTGCTCCTAGATATTTCAAAATTTTAAAATTATTTATTTAAAATCTAAAGATGCTATGTCGGAAGACATGGGTGTTTTTTAAAAATGAATTTAATTAACTTTTCTACGACAAATACATATTTACATAAGTATTTGCTCAACAACTAAAAAAGATACTGTGTCCCTTTAACTTGCGCGTGTCGAAAAATGTCCTCCGACGTGACAGGAGTGTCCATTTGAAACCAATCCGTATTTTCCGCCTCCTTTCTAGCTGCATGGATGGTGCATATCTTAAATCGCCAGCACGACGCCGAGTTGGTTCTCCGGTTACTAAAAATTAAGAAATATTTTAAAGAATCGCATATTTATGCACAATTTAAGTGCTTTCGACTCTTGTACTTTTTACTCCCATAACTCTATACGAATGTTCAGTATAGGCCAAAACAGTGATTTGTAAATCTTGTGGGATACATCTCATCTGAGGTGGCTTAAAATTCTGCAAATTTTCCAAATAATATCGTTGCATTACTTTGCTCAGTGGTTTCATTTGGTCCACTTTCAAACTCCGCTACATTTCCCAATCCAGCTTTGAGTAACATCAGAGATTCAATTGAGCATAGTGGTGTAGTGAATGGGCATCTTATTACTCCGTTTTCCGAGCAGAAAGCTCCAATTATTTTTTCTAGTTCCTGGCACCTGGTACATATAATTGTTTCTGGGATTGTCCGCAACAAAAGCCAGCAACTGAAAATTCAATAATTTCCAAATATGTTCAAGTTAATTAAAGTAAGGTGCACATGTAGTTGAGCTACCTTTTCTCTTAAACCTAGGCAAATGCGATAAATCGCATTGGCCAGGTTCTTTCCGGAGTGAAGGTCTTGAATAACAATAAAACAAACAATCAAATGTGGAAAACTTCCACTTTTGGAGAGACACTGAAATGACATGTGACTGCGCAGAATGCATCGTTCTCTGTTATTTGAAAAGTTATGGCGAAAAGGCTCCAATATGTAACCTATAGTGTTGTACTACGTACTCAATTAAGTTACATATGAATGAATAGGGAAACACATTAATTGGAATGGAAACAAGGCATCAGGAACAACTTGACAGGTAGATAAGCCAGCCCCTTATGCTTAAATCTGCGCTGTTCCATACAGGTTCCACATACTTATCTGCACTGCTATATCAAAAGTACCTCTCAAAATTCCCACCATCTACCCCTAAATTTCGCAACAGTGGGAATTAATACCTTATAATTTGTAAGTATTTCGCCTTGGACACAATGAAATCATTCACTGATATAGATTTCAACTTGTAAGTCTTTAAAACCGAAACAATGTTGCGAAACTTCTTTTCTTGAATTTTTAAATCATACATTTATTTCCCACAAACACTGATAAACTATTGTTGAGATAGGTCTATATTTTTGGGGGTGCTTCAATTCCCTGCACCTCGTGACCGGCATTTCCACAAATACATATGCATCCAATGCAGGTTGCTTCCTGGTGAGAAATATTTGAGAAACAAGTTTACACCTCCTTTTCCTACATGTTTGTTTTTAATAACCTTTTCTTAGCAACAATTATGTAAATACATTGTTCTGCTTGTCAGTGGCCGCGGAAGCCGCGGGGACGTGTGGGACATTAACGTTGTACGATATGGGATGTATGGGTCTGCGTACAATGCAGAGATCATGGGGATATCGAATAACCGTGGGACAATGTCCTTCTGTTCCCACGAGTCCGCGGCCACTGATGTTTGCACGCAATTAGTCATCAATTGCCAGGATTAGATGAGGCGCAGTATAAGGTACACATGAGTACCCGATGGCAAAATTGTGTACCTTATGTAACAGAATAAAATTAGATCAATCTTTTATTTTCCGATATAAATTTGACCTACACTTCGACTTCGACCATTCGCTCAAAATTAACAACGCGGGTAGCACTACAAGAAAAATAATCCCTTAAAATACCAAATAATGGAAGATTACTCGTTATCCTTGCTGGAAATTTTGGCAACGGCTGTTGCAAGAATGGGCCCAATTCCGGAACACATTGCCGTCATCATGGACGGGTTAGCTAGTAGGATTTCGAACTTTTTGTAAAAACTTCAGTAATTTAAACTCAGCAATTTTTATAGAAATCGTCGTTACGCAAAGAGTAAAGGGTTGAAAGCTATTCAAGGGCATCAAGCGGGGTAAATTAATTATCTGAGGGATCAGAAAATCTGAATCTACTCTTTAGACATGCAAAAAGAATTGCATTTGCATTGCTGAAATGTCACTTTCAGAGCCGCAGTGTCCAGCCGAGTGGAGAAATGGGGCAAGGCGATCGGATGTAAAGAAGTTACCGTTTATGCCTTCTCATCCGAAAACTTTAAACGTACCAAGGAAGAGGTCGACGATTTGATGGAGCTCATGTGCTGGAAGGCTGAAACCATATTGCAAGATGTGTAAGAAACAACAATTAATTTTTTTCCCTAAAAGAAATTCAGAAATATGTAGGAAACTCGGTTCAATTCGAATCGTTTTTAAAGATCTCTATTTTCCCGCTAAAAATTTAAATTTAGTCGCTGCATTGCAACCATTGAGTAGTAATAAATACGACCAAAATGCATTTTCTGTCAACCTTCTACTTAAAATATGCAATTAGATGCATCTGTGCATACGCACGTATTGACGGGTAAAAGCATAGAACTATTTATGTATGTGCATACATATGTACAATTTCTCTTGCTTTTACCCACATTTTTTTTTATTTTAGTGAGACCGGAAAAATTACAGACGTGAGTTTCAATGTGATCGGAGATTGGGACAAGGTTCCACATAAATTGAAATGTCGGATGGCCAATTTGGTGGAGAAGACGAAAAACTTTAAACCCTACAAGCTCAATGTCGCTGTGGCGTACACAGGTACGGGAAATTATGAGGCATAAAGATTTCATACCATTCACTTTAAACAATTAGTCGCAAGAAGGGGTGGCTGTTTGTTACCTATTCCAAATGAAGTGCACATGATGTACCAAATTGAGTCATGATAACATTAGATTTCCTAAGAATGTGCAAACTTATGCGCATTTACGCATAAGTAAATTACACACCATTAGTTAATCCTAAGCTTCATTCACTCCATTTTTTCCTCAGGTCGGGAAGGCATGCTGCGTAGTTTGAAAGCATTTGAAGGTCTCAAATCCGACGAATCAGTAACAGAGGTCAATCATAATTCGGACAAGGGACAAACCCAGCAGCCAAAATGGAACGAGTATTTGGTCGAACAAGCCCAAAACATGGCCAACATGAGACCTGTCGACATGTTAATTCGGACCGGTGGAGATCTGCGCCTCTCCGACTTCATGTTGTGGGAGGCGAGCCATGCTTATGTCCACCTCACTCCGAAAACTTGGCCAGAACTTAGTTTCTCTGCTTTTATGCACGCCATTTTCATGTATCAGGTGCATCGAAGACAGATACCAAAACCGGTAAGGATATTGACCTCCATAATTTAATTTAAGTCTAAGAAACACGATTGTTGGGTTGAAATTTCAAAGAATTTTATTGACTCTGCTCAGATTTCCGCGAAGGACTCTCTTTCCCCGGAAGAATTGATACACACTGAAAAAACTTTACAAGGACCCCGCGCTGTGATGTGGGCAAGGAATGCACGTTTTGCAAAGAAGGACCCTCCACTAGAGAAAACTAGCGAACCTTTCTGTCCGAAAAAAACATTTCTGGACAGTCTGCAAGATCTGCTTAGTTTCTAGGCGACCATAAAAATTTAAAAAGCAAGCATAGTGTTGGGCAAGCGAAAGTATTACTTTCGAATGGAGGGCTTATCAGACTTTGTCATATGGATGATGGTCATACGCGAGTCTACTTTTAATATACTTAAAGAAATATGTACATTACATTTAAAAGATTGAACGTTCTGGTGGCATTTGTACCATTAAATTTACTAATTATTCAGCATTATTAAGCAACATGGTCGCTTAAAATATTTAGCACTACACTAAATAGTTTATGTAGTATATAAGAGAAAAAATAAATACAAGAAAATAAGTTAGTGCATGAACGAGCAGGTGTTATCCGGTCCTTCACAAACGAACACATTTTCGTATGTATGAGTCGATGGATAGGATCTTAGCATTGGTAAATACAAAATGCGTAAGAGATAGTGTTAATGAGGGCTCTAGCGACGAATAATTAACCACCACGATATGAAGATACAGAAAGAAATGCTCCACCTCACATAACAGATGGAGTAGGAGTTAACTCTGCGAGTTTGCCATTTAGTTTAACATTGAGGGCATCTGGCGACCTCTCGTATGTGACGTGGAGAGTCATCCCCCTTACTTGCTTAACAAAGAGCAGAGTACTTCTTCTTGTTCTTTCTATTCTATGGTATGAGTGGACAAGTGTTTATGAATTTTTACATAGTACTCATTTTTTAACCAAACGATATGCAAAAAAAACTTATTCCAGATTTGGTTACCAATACACTTGAAATCGGGATAAAAGTGTCCCAAGATCTAGTGAAATTCAAAAATCCTTTTATTGCATTATTTTATTCATACGACACCATCAATAAAGATGTCGCAAGCTTGTATATGTATATGCACGCCGTACATATGCATGTAGGCACAACTTTATAGCCACCAGCATGGCATGGTAAGTGGTTCCGGAAGCGTGGGGACAGAGGGACAACGCCCCAACTATTACTCGATGTCAGCTGCAACCTTTGTAACGATAATGAAAATATTGTAAAGTACCAATGTTATATGAAGCCCACCCTCCCCTATCCTACAATGTTACTTTCCCCAGATGTCCCCACGGCTTCCACGGCCACTGCCTACATATGCATGTATTTATATATGTCCTAGATATGCATGGGAACAGTTTATTAATTTGCAACGACTACGAGATTATCTACAAATATATTTATGCGATAAATATGTAAATCTCGTGTCTCTTAAGCAGTTTAACTGACACGAGTAATGAAAACTTCCATTACTCGTTGTGATTTGCACGAAATAAATAAGTTTGTTTAGCTGTTCTCCGTTGCCGGATTCGTACAAATACAAAGGTCACGTTCCAGCAGAGATAAGGATATTTATTAACCACTTCACAGCAATGGCAAATATATATTTTCTTTTATGTTCCATACCGGTGATTTGTACCAATTATGCATGGTACAAACCACCCTAGTGCATTCAAACAAAGATTCAATGAGAAAAAACTTTTGGCACGTGTGCAATTAAAAAACTTGCAGGCGCATGTTCATTTTGACTGATTTATTTCATGACACATGCCGCTTAAATACATGCAACCATGTGCATAGATAAGTACATATTACTTTTAATATGTAAAATAACTGCGTTCAATTAAATTTACAAAAAGACTTAATATAATTTCCTCAATACGGCGAGGAATGTTCCCAAAACCGTCACCGTTACCCCAGAATATAACCCGTTCACATTATTTTGCCCGTTACAGTCGTCCTTGGAGCATAAGCAAGTCTCCAAAGCGTTGGTACCATTTGCCGGAAAACGAAGGACGGTACCGTTATAGAAATCGACCCACCAATCGTAGTATTTATTGCATTTCCCATCATGGCTACTTTCCGCTGGGAAGACGCACCCTCTTATAACGACCTTCTTACCGTTGATAGTTCCCTTCCCAGATCCGCACAAAGTTTTCATAGCGAGTATAGAATTCTGGGAATACAGATAGCTGGGAGCAGCAGTTACGGCTAAAATATTAAGAGGTTATAATTAAGCTACATTTTTGTTTGTAATTTTTTCGTATTACTGAAAAGTTCATCGGAGCCCCTTGTCCCACAATTCTGGGAGGTTACGTTTTTCGTGTCGGATTCGCATTGTGGCGCCGTACCATAACTTCCCTGCAGATAAACGCAGTTGTAACACTTGACGGCTAGAAAGGTTAAAATTGTAAAAAATTTTGAATAGTATGAGGTAACTAGTTGTATGTTTATGCGTCTACCTTCGGTGGAGGGGATGACACCGAGGGCGAAAATAACTGCGAATGTAAACGTTAATAAATGCGAGAACTTCATTTTGTCGAAATTGAGAAACTTTTACGCAATTTTACTTAATTGTACTTTTTCTAGGGATGGACTATGATTGGAAATTGCGACGAAGGTTGGACAGGTTTTAAATAAAGTAAGAGTTGATTGTTGATTGATTGATTGAGGCTTATCAGAGACTTATCAGAGACTTACTTGTAACATGTTGCTCATATCTTGCACAATTAAGTGGACGACGCTTATCTGGAATTGCACAATAAACTATGAAGTGGAGTGGCGAGGGGAAAAAGCCTAACTGTTCAATAGAACACACATCTATGTACATAATTAACATATTATGTACCTGACCTAACGGTGTGTATGTATGTGATTAAAAATATCTGCATGTACATTGTTTTGCATGAATGGAAATGCGGCATAATTTTCACAATATTTAGAGAAATAATAAAATTTAAGATGATTTTGGACATCATTTGTAAACAATGGTAACAGACAGATTATTTTATTTGTTTAGGGTATTTAAAGTGTTAGTTGATTTGTATCACTATAATTACATATATAAAGACGCAACCTGGAAATGCATTTTTTTCAGAAACAAATATTTATTTAAACTTATTCCATAATTTTAAAATTATTTCTTTCTTTCCTATGACAAGCACATATTTACACACACCTAAACCAGATACTCTGTCCCTTTAACTTGCGCATATCGGACAATATCCTCCGGTGTGACGGGAGTGTCCAGTTGGAACCAATCCGTATTTCCCGCGTCTTTTCTAGCTGCATGGATGGCATCCTTAATTGCGAGCACGACGCCGAAACTTGCCACCAAAGTTGGTTCTCCGGTTGCTAAAAATCGGGAATATTTACAAAAATTGCATTCAAAATCCGAGTTTTTAAACTAGATATTTTACTTTTTGATCCAAGAACTCCATTCGGATTTTCAGTATTGGCCAAAATCGTTATGCGGAAATCTTGTGGGATACATCTCGTCTGAGGTGGCTTATAATTCTGCAAATTTTCCAATTAATAAATTTTAACGGTTTTTCTTTGTTGTCGATACCGTTTTATCAAGGTAACTTTTTAACACATGCATAAAAGTAAAAATACATGGCCCTGACACTAGACTTATCTAAATTCGCTTGTCTGAAATGTCTGTAGTTAAAATGGAAATAAATGTTTAGTAACTGTTGAAAATTGGGAAAACTATTTCGTTAATTAGCCAAACCGAATAGGTTGATTCAGTTTACCTCGTTAGTTCAAAAAAGTTCTATGTAATTAACAAATGAAAATGAAATATATGTACCCAGCTTCGAGTCGTGAGGAGCTTTCCCTTGTCATCCCAGATAAGCTGCTCCGTCGTGAAGAATCCCAGCCCCATGACGAACCCTCCCTCCATTTGACCAATGTCTATCTCTGGGCTTAAACTTTTCCCGACGTCTTGTAAAATGTCGACTCTGATAATCTGTCCAGTTTATCAAGTTATTGACCCTGTCTTGGCAATACATAAGTAAATATGTAGGACTATTGTAACAACCCACCCTATTTTCTCCTGTTAAAATATCCAATTCCACTTCGGTCACTGCCACGATCCAAACGGGGTATACAATTTCGTCACCATCCCATCGCTTAAGGTCTCCTGGTTTTTGCCTAAGTTATTATAATCAGACATGTTTGGATAATTTTCAGCTGGTTCTAAACCAAGTAAATCATGCATTCGTTATATCTATCTGTGCCTTTAAACTCTTACGAAGTAAAAAAAAACAATTGCTCTATGTAACTTCAAAGTATCTAGAAGTAGATATGTATTTTCCTTATCAGTCTTTGGGGTTACTCACGTCGACATTATATTTGGATCATTTCTTTGCATCAATTTTACGAGATAATGTTGGGAATAAAAGCATTCAAATTTGTTTGGTAAATTTTAGAATAAAACTCGCATAATTTTCTGATGTTCGATATCTCGCGAATTTGGCAAGTTGATGTGCTAAATTTTCAACATATTTACTTCATATTTACATACATACATATGTTAAGGCTGTTAGTGAGTGTAATTTAGATAAACTTTTGCCAAAATTTGTAAATCATGTTACCCGGAAAAAATTCCGAGTAATTTTATAATTTCCTTAGCCAAATCCTTCACGCAAATTATAAATTAATATATAAAGTTACGACCTGAAATTTAATAAAATACATACATATAAGATGCTGCAAGGTCCACGTCATTGGCGAAACATTTTTTGACCAACTCAATCCAAGGGGCAGTCCTGCATTGCTCCCTCGTCGTGGCCATTCGCTCGTTCAAAATTTCACACGCTTTTAACGCAGCCTGAGTAAAACAAATCCACACCGGAAATAAACTATGTAAATAGTCACAAAAAAATGCATCTTTTTAAATATTTACATAACAACAAAGCTCCGACGTAAAAGAAGCCCCGGACAAGAATGAGTTTGCCCCAGTCATATTATTGCTAGGCTTCACGTTCACGAGGTGCAAATCAATCCCCAGCGCGTATGCGACCGTTTGTGCAACTTTCGTGTTGACACCCTGACCCATCTCGATACCCGGATGCGTCACTGACACCGTCCCGTCAAAGTGGTAGATGGCGACGAACACGGTAAATTTCGCGGTTAAATATTCTATCAAGAATTTCACCGGGAGAGCGGACAGGCCTCGTTTCTTCCATCGGTTATTCTAGAACAGAACTTTGTTAGATCTAAATCCGCACTAATTTTAAAAGTAATTACCTTATTCCATTCCGCAACTGCGACCTTTCTCTCATTGTAGGAAGAATCCTGCAGAATTTGCGCCATCATTTCGGGAATTTTATTGTCTTCCGACATTTTCGCCTTGGTGGAGAGGTACACGTCACCGGGCGTGGCATAATTTGCGCTGCGAACGTCCAAGGGGTCCTTCTTCAACATGAATGCGATGTGATCCATGATATACTCAATTATCGAGACGCCATTTACACTTCCTGGAACATGGAGGATGAAATCAGCAGGTTCAAAATTACCGCGCTTAAGTTAGTTATTCTCACCTGGTCCTCGCGTGCTCGTGTTCGACGCCGTGTTTGACACGAAATTATACGGCGTTAATTTCCACCCATCGCAAGCATACGCATTTTGCACGAATGGGATGCAAAATCCGACATTATCTGATTCCACGGGAGTAAATCCCGTCCCACATGAAATGTCGGCATTCAACGATAAGATCTTGCCATCTTTGTTAACTTGGACCTATAATTTGAAATATCAAATAATATGAAATTCTCCAAAATTTTTCCCTAAAACTAATCATTAATACTTTGTAATCTGTAAAATATTCCGTCCGTTTTCCAATCATGTCCATATTTCCCGACATGTCCAACGAGACGCGGACGGGTTTTCCAAGTTTATACGCGGCAAGTGCGCAGGCCGCGGCTACGGCCGAGTTACGCGTCAGTTTTGCCCCGAATCCTCCACCCAATCGGCGAACTTCGACGTTTACCCTAAATTCAAAGGTTTCAAGAATTGCCAAAGTCAATTATTTAGTTATTAAGTACATTTTCGATCCGATTAAAAAAATTTCTACGTGTGTACATACTTGTGATGAGGGATGTCAAGAAGCGAGGCAACAACATATTGGGTGTGTTCCATCCACTGTGTGCCTGCATAAACATCGATCGAGTCCTCTTTAGGGATACAGAAGCACGACTGCGTCTCCATGTGGTAGTGGTATTGACCCCCGTTTTTGAAATTTCCGTCAATTGTCTGTAACCATTTTAGTTAAATATTAGTTCGAAACATCTAAATACATTTACATGATTGGGGAAGAGAGATATTTAAATTTTGCATGCACTAGTAAACTTGCTTTGTAAACACGAAGGAAAAGTTTGCAGGTTCGCCTAAGCAAAAATTGGCAAAATTTCAGCAGACTATTGGCAAAGTCGGTGACCTGTGATGAATTTACTCTTAAAATTTTTCCCGCTTGTCACTTCATTTTCACGTGTTGATAAATCACTAAACATACTTAACAACATACGCAACAATAATTTTGGAGTAAGTATTTTTGTCGATGTACATATTTTATGCATGTAAATTGCATGATGTAGTTTATGTGCCCATGCGTATAGAATTGAAATTACTGGCTGCATACCATAAATGGAACATCATTCCCTTTCCGTTCAGCTTCAAATTTCAGGTTGGGCATGGCATTGTGCTCGTCAAGTGTCCCGTCCTGCTTTGCCTCATTGTATAATTTTTTCAAGTCCAATTTCGGCACATTTTTCTTCACGTAGTTCACTTTGATCAAGGCCAGTCCTTGGGAGGCCGCCCCTCTCGAAGTGGCGACTATGAGGCCAAGAGCCTGTCCAAAGTAGGAAACTTTGTCACTGGCGAAGACTGTGTCGACATCGGGACCTTCCTGCGTTAGGGTGTAAGTGTCTCCGGCTCCGGAATCTGCTGCTGTTGCCGAATAGGCAAGCTAAAATTTCGAAGAATTACATAGAAATTTTTTGAAACTTTAAGACTTTAAGCAATGTAACGTTACCGAGGTTCCAGCCTGTGCTAATTGTGCTTTTGCCATTTGATTTAATCTCCGAAATACTGCGGATCCCTGCAAATTAAGGAACATGTTGTGATAACTTGGTCAAAAAATTGCTAACCTTCAAATTATCTAACAATATGGAAGCATTTTTTTTAATTGCATTAAAAGTTTAAATCCGCACCCCAGCTCCACCAACAGATCTGCACAGTCCGTATCTCTCAACCGGCTTCTTTTTTCGAATTGATCCAACAGAAAGTTGTCCTCCAGAAGTTGCAGAATAGCTGACTGGACAGACTCCCGTGTCCTGAATAAAATATTTTCTGTTTAAATTGAGATTTTCAATTTAAGCCCAAATTTTAATATATACCTCGGTTACTGATGGTCCTCCATAAATCCCAAATTTCATATAATTGTTAACCCCTGGGATATCCTTGGCCTGATAGAAGGCCACCACACCTGGCACTTTCTAGAGTAATTAAATAGCACTAAATTGAGCAACTTTTATATATATTTTGTAATAAATTTGGGCAGAATTATCTCACTAGCGCCTCCGTGGCGTCGATACTCTCTAAAGTAGCGTTCGCCTCCTTGCTGAGGAGAAACACGCCGACCAGCTCGTTCGGATCGTGGGGCAGGTCTGCGATATATTCGGCTTCGCCTGACATTAAATTATGGAAATACTGGTTCAATTATTCGAATAACGAGCTAAAGTGCATCTACTCAAAGTAATAACTTTATTTATTGTTTTTATTAAAAGGCTTTAACGTCATTCTCACCCGACGTTTGATGGATTGCTTCTATTTTTCTGACCGGTTTGTACAGCGGTTCATCGCCAGAATGATCTGGAAATTTTTGCGTTCCTTTGTTATTCACGCGTTCCAAGTTGGTCCCGCCTGACCGCATACTCGGAGTTGCTGCTTCTCCAAGAATAGAGAGGATTGCCTGTAATAGGAAACATGAATTATTGTCCATGAATATCTTTAATTTTTCGCCATTTATAAACTAGTGTTAATTTCACCTTGTATAATAGTGCTTTTGCCAGAGTTTTTCTGTATTTCGGGTCCGCTTCACCCGCCACTGGGTCAGGGACTACTTCCTCGTCTAACAAGTCCAACGCCTCATCTAAAGTTTGTTGCAAGTTTAGAGGCTTTCCGTTAAGATATTCTTCACATTTTGTGGCGTGCACCTAAATTGAAGTACATATCTTTCTTATCGGATTTTGCAATTAGATATTGCTGAATCTTACAAATTGTCCCGTGATCCCAGCATAGCAAATGCTCGGCTTTTCCGTAACGATAAACTTAGCGTCAATCTTGAAAAGAAATCCGGCGTTGACGTACGCATGTGCGTTTTGAAATCGTTTAGAAATCTGTGTAAAAATTCTTGTTATGAAAATTAAAATTTCATCACAATTATTTAAAATTCAAATTATGAACTATTTATATTTAATTCCAAACAGATCAGATAATTCAGATCGGAAATCTGAAGATTTTGCATTACTGGAAATTTCATGTCAGATCAGACACGACATTATCTGATCTGTTCGAAACTACATATGTGTAATATGAACCTTATAACTCCGGTATTGATACTCGCTCACTGCCCGCTTTGGGAGTGATAATGCCGTTATAATTTTACCCTTCATGTCAAAACCTGGCGCTAAGATGTCCCGAAGAGGACAGATGCTAGTGATCTTATCGACTGAGGTGATTTCAATCGAAGTTCCCACAGTTTCCAAGATTGTGAAAATGTCGGATTGAAATTCGGGATGGAGACGTTTCAATGTCAAGTTTCCTGCGACGGTGGCCCTCTAAATAGTGTTAAAAGGTATTAAGTTTACATAACCGGGTAAATATGGAACCCTTAAAGTTATGTTCAAAATAATACACGACAAGAATTTGAGGAAACGCTAAAAATTTTAAGTTCCCATAATTTTAAATTTCCACGTCACATTTCATTTTCTTACATTTCTGACCGGTGTGGACGCCACTCTGGAAATATGTTGCGCCATGAGTTTTGCATATGCGAATTGTGCGGGATCAACCGAGTTCAGTGTTTCAATCAATTTCACGAGCGGTGTGCACGCTCCGACCATTAAAGAGTTTGATCCTATCGAACATTCATCCAATGGAAGGGCCGTTATATCAATCTTAACTTGGGCGGGTGGTGGTGCGTAGACTCCTGGAAGGAGATAATTTTAAACTTTGTCGTAATTCATAAAACTAGACCTATACAAATCTCACCTGACCCCGTGTTTCCCGCTATGAAACGGTACTCTTCCCCTGCCTGGATGCACCCCTTCATTACGTCAAATAGTTGATCCATATCTTTTGGCTGGACCCATTCGTCATTGTCGCCAAATCTTAAATGGATTTTTGCACCCTTGCCAAAATTTCGCATAACCGTGCTTGCCCGACAACAGTTTTCTACCGCACCGCAACAACCGTTTTGTTGACCTAACCCTTTCATCGGGATGCGGGAAAGACTACCATCTTCAACTTTTAGCGTGTCAGGGGCATCTGTAGCCAGAGACTTCATGGCGTCAAGGATCGAGCGATAGCCCGTGCAGCGGCAGATATTCCCGTCAAACCCGTTCTCAACATCGTCCATGGTGACTCCGGCAGGTTTTGCTGCCATCAAGCTGAAATTAGATGATTGAGATATAATATTTAAATATAGCCCGAGTCAGGCTGTCTACAAATTATGTAACGCACCGACGGATTTTTATTCCACTGGAAATTCCTTTTTGATATTTTAAGACTTTCAAAAGAATGTACATACAATGTTTTGCTATTAAGGCTATACATATATTCTTCACTCGTTTTGCCAATTTTGCGCCAATGTTATAATTTATGAATGGCGAATGTTACCAAAGAAATTAAATTTAAACATTACATATGATTCTGTATTTTGTAATGATTTACTAATTATTTTTATGCAAATTTTGTCAAAATGATTGCATTCTTAATTGTATAATGATGTGCAGTGTGCATCTGTGTACTTCCAGTCAAATCTAGTCAAATTTTTGTTAATGTATACATATTATGTATTACATAATATACCCACCTGTACATATTCATGACCATTCCTGGTGTGCAGAATCCGCACTGGGTGCCCGAGTGGTACACAACTTTCTTCTGAATCTTATCATACCCTTCTCTACTATTCCCCAGAAATTCAACTGTATAAATTTTCCACCCGTCGCAACTCAGGACAGGAGTTAAGCACTGAAATTATTATGTGAGGTTAATTTAACCTAACCGGACAAGTATTTCACAAACTTACCGAGTTGACCGCTTTAATGTCACCATTTGGCAGGTAAGCCGTAACCAAGCAGGCCCCACAGCCCCCTTCGTGACACATTATCTTCGTCCCCTTTAACAAAGCTGTGTCCCTGATGTATGAAACCAACCTTGTCGAGGAGGAAACCCCATCAGATTCAGAAACTTAAAATAAATTCAAACCAGAAATTTGAACCTCTAAAATATATGCATAAATTAAAGAAGACTTTTCCTCCTACATACCCGTGAAATCTTGGTCGTTTATTTTAAAACGGACCGCCACGCTTGGATCCGATCTAGATAAAATTTGGATACAAATTTGAAACGAAATCATATGTACATATTTATTTAAGTGGTTAAAAATGAAATTCATTTCACCTCAAATCTCCCATTTTATCGAATATTCTTATTTATCAATGCAATTGCAGCAATCCTATTGCATGCAGCCAAAATGATGTCCAAAGTGAGAATGAGGCTAATAATTGCCAGACGCAGACATAATATTGGTACCTAATTTCTCCAGATTGTATTGTCATTCTAATTAAATTACCTCTTATGTACATACGTAGGTGTTTTATTATTGATTTTCAAAAGGTATGTTCCGCACTGTTTCTGACCAAAATTTTGATGAAATAACAAACTTTAGATACATCTAGGATGCTGTGATTTTTTTCAGCCCTTTAGGTTAACATTAACACTAGCAATAAATCAGCAAACTTTACCTCGACGGAAAAAATGTCACATTTGCAAATTAAACATCGTAGTGTGATTTAAATTTTATTGCTGGAGGGGCAATATGTGTCGCAGATTTATGATCGAATGCTTAAAGTTTACGATGGAAACTGCTCAACACAAAGCACAAATACAATTGGGTCGATAAGTTCAAATAAAGGCGAGAAGATGTCCCAAACAAAAAAGTCGCCAGGATACCCAAAATCGGTTTCCACCGCAGAAAACCTCCAGAAACTTAAAGACCCAATTATTAGAGATCCACGATTGAAACTGTCCTATTTAGCAGATGAGATGGGTGTTCCAAAACCAATAATTTGTTCCATGTTAACTGAAGACTTAGGTATGAAAATGGATTCCTTCTGTTGGGTATCAAAATTGCTTTTGGCATCTCAAAAACAAGATCGAGTTGCTTTTGCAATGCAAATTTTGAGCTTTTAAATGAAAACTGGAACCTGTATCATATTTTAGTAGTTGAATATGATACTTGGGTTTACTATTATGACCCGACGACCACACAATAATTCATGCATTGGAAGCACGGGGGATTTCCACCACACATGGAAAAGTGCAAAAATCTGCCAAAAAATTGATGATCATCAGTTTGAAGGATACCAAAGGTCTCCTCCTTATAAAATTTATTGCTAGAAATACTACGATAAATGGGGTCGCGTATGCAGGAACCCAAAAGGAGCTGCGTTCTGCGGTTGAAAAGAAACGCGGGGTCAAAATAAAGAGTTGGCCTTTTTTTAGACGACAACGCGCCACCAAATACCTCACTGTTTTAGAGAGCTGATGCAGACGAAAATCGCTTTACCTGCACAGACCACCCCCCGTGCAGTCCAGACAGGACCCTTAGTGATTATTATCCGTTTCAAACGTTGAAGAAAAACATCAGGGGGAAACGATTTTAGGATGATAATGGAATCAAGTCGTAAATTTTTGCATATTTTCGAGGTAAATTTGGATGATTTGTTGCGGGTGTTTCTTTTAACCGATTGAGCTGAAAAAAATCACGACTTCCAAAATGTTTTTGAAGTTTGTTATTTCATCAAAATTTTGGTCAGAAACAGTGCGGAACATACCTTTTGAAAATCAATAATAAAACACCCACGTACATGTATACAGTTGGAATATGTAAAAATATTGCGACATGAATAAAATATGTAGATCTGTAGGCAACAATTGACTCGTCCCATTGTGGGGGAAGAGATGAATGCATGTTTATGCACAGCATATTTGTCAGATGGTGTGCAATTATTAATCAATTTTGTTAGTTATTGAGGAAAAATGGTTAATTATTATTCTTATTGATTGCTTAGATAAGTATGTTTATATATTGCTACTCGTTCAATCACTGACTTGTTGCTATGCAATTGATGGCTTGCAAGTGTGAACATTGTGGAAATGTAAAGGGAGCAAATTGGTCTTAGGTTAATCAGGCTAACTCCATATATTCGCGTAACAATTTGTATTGATGTGTATATACGAATATACTTACACACCCAAAACCTCTAATTTTAAATATCTTTCAATAATTTAGATAATCACTTGTTGTTAGTTGATAACTGGCATATTCTATGTTTTAAAAGAGGTGAAATTGTAACATTTACAAGGAAGCTTCATGTAATGCCATGACGCCGGAATGCCAACTGTAGGAGAGAATAGTGGAATTTGGTGGTTGCAAAAGAGAGCAAGGATAGGAAGCAGGGCGGTTAGCCTAGTGGTAAGGTGTTCTCCCGGCATGAGAAAGACACGAGGTTCGATTCCTCGTACTACTCTTCCTTCTTATTTTTGCTCTCAACGCGTATGCAATCCTCCGAAAATCCCACACAACGTAAAAATTTGAGAAAGTTAATATATATTATGCATATAAATAAAAATCAAACTGGTGTACGAGCACAAATTTCGTAAAGAGGTTCATATGTGACATATGCTAATCATTATAACTTATAATTTATAAGTACTCAATTTATTAAGATGATTAATTCTGAGTGAAAGTTTGAGTTTTATAAAAATGTTTCCTATGAATGGCAAAGATATTTTTAACATTAAATCGTAACTGGGATTTTATTCTCTTGAATCAAGGATTCAACCCATTTGAATGTGTCGTCATTGATTGAATGAATACGGAGGACAATTACGTATAGTTTAAAAATTGTAACAATACAATTTTAATTTATTAAAGACAAGTATGTAAATAAATATAAGACAAGCAATTTATTTATTTCCCAGAACGACTAAAATTCTATAAATTTCTTGGGTAAATTTCGTACAAAATGAATTTTCGAAGCAAGTAAATAAATTTGCTGCTTATTAGGAAGAATTTTTAAGATTTTGATTGTACATGTAAATATTATAAGGTGATCCATCTTCAATCACAATAACAAAAATTGCTCCTGCTCAATCTCATTATTTGTAGTCGATGGAGAACATGGATAACAGTATAACCCGTAGCTTCTAAATTTGTGTACGTATTTATTTTCGCAACAAAAACTCGTATGATTGGTGACATCGTCGTCATCATAGAGGTACTTCGCGTCTGGCGGCGCATAGTCTTCACACGACGGATCGACGTATTCCTCATCTTCGTAATCCGATGATAAACCGTCCAATTCAACGTAATTCAACGTTCCAGTTTCAATTTCAGGATCAGTTTGTGCTAAATACAGAAGGAAATTTCGTTTCAGAACATTTTTCTGGAAGTTTTTAAATGAATACATATTTATTTCATATACTAAATAAATACCTAGTCCAACAAATACAACGATGCAAAACACGGCCAAATTGACAAGGCGGAGGTCCATTTTCTTTATTTTCTAATAATTAGGTTTCGAATAAGAATTTGGTGTGTCGAGCTTATGGCAAAAATGTAATTGCACGAGCCAACTTTGATCTTGATGAAATTATTAAAACTCACGAAAATTGGTGAAAGTAATTTATTTTGTTTGTACCAAAATTTTTGACGGAAAGTGGACTACTTTTTCAAACTGAAGCTGTAATCTAAATGGGACAGAATTGACATGGGCAGGAGTATTTAAATAATATGTATGTAGGTCAGATATTTATAAATTAGTGTCACCCTGCAGGGTTGGGTTGAAGGGCTCAGCACTTTCTACATTTTTTTTAGAAATATGTACGGGATAAATTTAGCTCTCCAATGGACGCTCATAAATTATGTAACGAGGGGGGGGGTCTCAGGTTCCAATGATATCGTGCCTATGCGACACATTTTAAAGGGGACATAGGGTTAAGAACATTGCGATTTTTGCGGAACGTTAATTTATGAATGGTCTTAAGGGATGGCTCCCCAAATCGTAGTCAGACCCGAATTATGCTATTCTTAGGATCCGTGACCCAAATTGATGGGTGCATATGAATATGGGTCAAATTTACCTGTGAAACTTATAAGCATTTTGTACCATACGTATCGTTACCTCAAACTTACATAAAAAGCAGGGTTTTTCACGGCAAGGCTGTCTACCTACATAGTTGCATTATGACATCAAATAGCTTGATACGGGAAACATTCATGTGCATGCATACGAGAAAAATGTAAATATGTTAAGCTGTTTAACACCGTTTATACATATACATACATGAGCTCTGTGATGACACAAATCCTTATTAATCAACCCGTCATATTTCGCACAAATTTTAGGCACTCACAATAAACACAGTGTCTTAATTTGTAAAAAGAATTTCGCAAAAAGAAACGCATCAAAGTTAACTAAATCTGAGCATGAGAAGGTAGATACATACATGTAAATGTCTCATCCAAATCAATACATGACATTGCACTGCACAGATTGATGTGCACGCACAGGAGATACGCACACTCAGGAAATTATCTCCACGAGTTTACTTTCTCCAACCCAAAAACTTTCTCTGATCACTCACTTTCACTTTTCACTCTCCGTTCTCTCGTGGGACAGACGAGTTGCGTACAGCAGAGCTTTCATCATCTCCTACATACAAATTTAAGCAACCACCTGCTTTCCTCATCACCACAAGTTATTATAAATATCCAAGTTAATCATTCGCCAATAGTTTTGCATAATGGCGCACATGCACATTTATGGCGGTATTCATGGCGGTGGCGGTGGTAACACGACATTTGGAGGTTTCGTCTTTGCCTCGACGGGACAGCCCGTGTCTGGCAAGAGTAAAGATAAGACCAGCACGACGGTGACATCACCTGTGAAAATTACCTTCAAATCATCTCGGGATAGAAAATATAACGAAATAAGGGGCAAAGTTCAGCAGCTCTTTAAGGACAAGGCGCATCATGGTGAGTGAAAAACTCTGATTGCAAAATTCTTTACAAATTCAATCAAAGAAAACATGCTCTTATTACACGGATCGATTTCCTCCCGAGGAAAGTTTGTGCTGACTCGATGTCACTTTTAAACCCAAACTTTCTCCCCGGATTCCACTTTCTCTTCATTCCTTAATAATCTCACGCTGCATGAACAGATTAAAGACCATCCACCTGTCGCGCAACCACCTGTCATTGCAATTTTTGCGAATTACTTTAGTTCGTTTAATTGCGAAAACCAGTAAATGTATGTACATGTAATTATTTTGATCTGCATGCTAAATGCACAACCCCGGGACGATTGCAAAATAACTTCTGCTTCAACTTGACAGAATAGGCACCCTTTTCTGCACAAGTATAAATATCGATCCACTAATCCTTCCAGTAAACTGTGTATGTACTGCTTGTAAAACTCGCCATCCATCACACTTCCTCCGCTTTCACTCACCCGAACCACTTTCTCATCATTATGTCGCTCCTTTTTTTTCATGCCAAGTAAACTAAAAGTTCAGCTTTCTTGAAAGCCTCTATTTGTCATCATGCCATAAATTTACTGTTTTCACTTGGCTAACAAATTCACTCTGACAGCACTTTCTTTTCTTTCTTTATGTATTACAAGGCCTCATCATCGAGCTGTATGGAACTTTGCAACTCAAAGGACACGCAACCCTGCAACTCACGTTAGCGTCTCAAAATGCCTCCACCTCATCCCAATCTCTGGCCTCATTTCCACTCACGGGTCCCCAAAATTCTGAAAATAGTCATGTCACGACGAAAGCATACCAAAAGTTTCCGTTTGTCCTCAACTTTCCCGAAGACCTCCCCCTTCCACCCACCTTCTCCTGCCCGCTGGGATCCGTCTCGTACAAAATCGTCGTGTCTATGCGCGTCAACCAGAAACTTGTTCTCCTCGAGGAGCAGGAAATTTACTATTTTGGCGAAAAGAAAATTTCTCCGTCGGATGTTTCAGCAGTTTTGAAACATTTGGTCATCGCACCTTCGCATCCTGGTGAACAACTGACAAATTGTTCCGTTGCTCATGGCAACGCTAATATTTCCATGCAACTTCCCAAACGAGATTTCTTGTCGGGTGAAGATATCCTTTTCAATATTAAATTGAGTGATCCCGACAAGTCTGGAGGGGTCAAGTTGATCAGGGTATTCTTATTGAGGAGTGTCCTGGTAGAGGTCAGAGGTCACAGGGATCGCAAGGAGGATGCAATTCTGGATGTCGTCACTTTCAAGAGATTTCTGAAAAGGGGGGAAACTTTACGGAGTGGAAAGTTCAAATGGGACTCTATCCCGACGGCGAGTTATGCTGGCCGGTTTGGTGGGGGGATTAACCTGGTGGGGATTTCGTATAGAGTGGAGGTATGCAAATATTGGACATAAATTTTGCTGAGTTTTTGCTACATCAATTTACAACTTGCAGATTAAAGTGACGACAACAACGGGAGAAATTTTGGCCAACCAGATCGAAATTGTGGTAGGAACGAGGGAAGGGTCACTGACGCCGACGGCGCCGGAAGAAAGCGTCGACGGCCCTTCAGCGCCGCCATTGGGCGATGATGACGATAATCAAACTCCAGTCCCGTCAGCGCCACGGAGAAGTTTTGCATCCTGGGGGCTGGTCGCTTCGTCGATGCTTTCCCTACTTCCGCCCTCGTATTCTCAACTCCCGTCGAGATCAGAGTCACTTATTTCGCTGGAGACGCGTAAGTCCATTTGGTTAATTATGCACATGTGTTATAAATAATGTGCAATTATTTCTTAAAACCTGACTATTTTCAGTCCCACCGCATTATGATGATCTCGTGGATTCGGATAATGACGACAAATAATTAAATGTAATCGACCAACCACCATCGAGTTTATCATGGGAAATCAACTTTTGAAATTATGATCATTAGGCACTAAATAAAACGCTTCTGAATGTTACCTTGTCCTTCCACACATTCAATAATATTAAAACTGTAATTAAAATCTAAAGTAATTTTTCCTCGCACAATACCATATTAAAGAATACATAAATTAGAAAATTAGTTACTTAATCGAGACATCCATCACAATTTTTAACCTGTGTAACACAACGTAGATTTTACCATTTGCGTAACGGATTTGGTAACTACGAATCTATGCCCAAATTTAAGTCAAGTTGGAGAATAATGTTTAAAACACGACCTGTAATTCTAATTCAAACCTAATTTTTCCTATAAATTATGGCAATAAATTGTTGTTGGATTACCTCGAGTGAATGGTTAAAAATTCGTTAATTTTTATTTTATTTAATATTTATTATTTAATTTTATATTACATAATTGCATCTACCCATATCCACTCATATTTAAATGAGAAATACAACAATTTCTATCATCATGGTGTATATGCATGACTTCAAACTCCCAACGCCCACCATACGTACATATGTATCATTTAGTGTCGTAAATAATTGTGCAATAAAACATCTACTCAACATGCATGTATGTATTTACCTACCACAACATGACCACCACCGCATTGCACCGTGTCACACTTTTGCATGCAGAACAAAGTAAAACCAAGATTGTGATCAGCTCAGGACAATACAACCAACCCGTGAATTTGAGTGAAAACGTCCGCCCGTAAAATTGCACATTGTGTGTAGGATAGGGACTGCAGATTTGTTGTGTGTGATTTGCATGCACAGTGAGAATTGAACAGAGGAAAGCCGGGTCGTGCTTTACTTCTCTCCAGTTGCTGTCGAGTATGGCAATTATTTTGCTGTCATAAATCGTTCCTAATAATTTTTAATTTTTTGAAATTAATTGCTGTCTGATAATAAATACTTGTTTTTATCGTGCCACTTATTTTGAACTAGTGAAGAGGTAAGATTTCCATAATAGATCAAGTCTCAACTTTGTAAATCCATTTATTCGGGATGAGAGAAAACTTATGTGGGGAACAAAGAAGGACAAAGTTCAATATTGACGTGACGCAGCCGCCAGGAACGTTTGTTATGTGTCATACTAATTATAAATTAGATTGTCATTTAGGAGTTTAATTTCTTGTAAATTCATTAACTTATGTACGTGTATGTGCATAATTTGCTATTCGGAAAACTCGTTCCCCTATAAGACATCATTGAAATAGTAAAATCATTTTGGATTGTTTCTGAGCATTGCTTTTTATTGTAAAATTTCTCATTTTATTGTTAAGTATTTTAACCAAGTCCTGTTTTATATGATATCATGCGTATCGTGTTTCTGAAAATTTAGGTTTTGTTTTTTTAATTTCTAAAATATCTCAGCAAATCTTGTCAAATAATTGAACCCACACATGCATTGCAAATTGAAGATGATAATCTTAATTTAATTATGGTTTGTTTTTAATAGGTTTGATTAAGCAACTTTCCTCGTCAAGGGGGAAGGAGTAAGGAGAATGGACAATGGCAGAGGGGGACGTGGTCGTGGGGCGGAAAGTAATAAATGGCGGGGGAACCGTGGTGGGGGCGGCGGAAGTCAAAGACTGTATCACAACCATGGCGACAGAGACTGGAGGGGTGACAGTAATCGGGAAATAATGGGCCCAATCACTACCAATCAACGAGGGGGAGGAGATCATCGCAGTAAACGAGCCAGACCTGGAGATGGAAGACGCGGCGGTGGTGTCGCTTTCGGTAACCATGGCAACAACCAGATGGAAGTGGATCAACCAGTACACAAACGCTTTGAAAGGTATCGACAAATTAAAAAAATAAATTAAGCGTACTCACGTCGAACTTCACATTTTCGCAAATTGAGCATGCAGTTTTGAGAAACTAGCGAGATTTCGCATAACTTTTACTGGAAAACTATTGATTTTTTTTTCGCAAATTAGGATGTTTTTGTTTGGCAAAAATTTATGTCGCAGACTCATCCTCACCATTACCACCAGAGGGAGAAATTACAAAAATTAGAGGTGTTCTAGAAACAGATTTGCTAAGTTATATTTTGTGAATCCCCTCATGACATGACATAACTTTGCAAATTTGCTGAATGAGTTGCAAATTGCAACTTGCAATGCTATGCTAAATAAGACGTTGGCGTGAGTACGCCCATTAATTATAAATCATATTAACAAACTAAAATATTTCTAAACGTTAGACCCGGACCCGTCTTCGGATTTAAACGTCTCCACGGCTTCCTGGCTGACACCGTCAGCACGGACAATGTCATCTTAGCCATCTCCAAGAATAAGTCGGACTGGGTCGCGCTCTTAAAATCGGATGAGGTGAATCCATCCAATTCCAGAAACTATTTACATCTCGTAATGCAAGTCCTCGTGGAGAAAGTTATTCCAGAAAGTATCCTACGCAGCCAACAGGTCGAGATTTGTCTCGCTACGACGGAGGAACAGTTCCGAGAGAGAATTAGCAGCCTTTGCACACAAATTTGTATTGGACTTGGCGACAGTACAAGTACGGAAAATAAAACCAGGTATCCAAAATAAATTATTTATAATTACTAATTAGTGTCTGTTTATAATTAATTTACTGAAAAGCATTGACTTTTAAATATCTTTTAATTTCAGCAATTTCATCTATGTTGATAAATCTCCGGCTAAGTTTCTCATCAATCTTGCTACCTATTGTCGTTTCCTTATGAAGAAGATGCCATCCATTGTACTCGATTTTTTGCAAGCGGTAATAAGTATTGCTTATGGTGCCGCCATGTCGCGTTCTATCTCCGATTCTGAGACATTTGGTCCAATTCGGGATACGTTTAAAGCCTTAATTGATGAAGTAAAATCCTGGTCACAAAAATTGAAAACAAAGAAAATCATCATGCATAAATTCAATTCAAGATATCGACAAGAATTTTCAGAGGAGGAGGAAGCCGAACTTCACGCAATGGAAGCCCCACAAAACTATAAGGATATGGATATTATTCCGACTGCGCAGGAACTGTTGTCAAAAGAGGAAGTATTTCTCCGCCCGAACAAGACCAAGGGCGCTTATCAAGATGCCGCGCACTATTTGGATGTCCAGTTCCGTCTTTTGAGAGAGGATTTCGTTCGACCTTTAAAAGATGGAATCCAAGATTTTATGACACACAGGTAAATATGAAAATGATAATGTCTCAAAATCATGGCAGCAAAATTTTGCAATCTTTTCAGAAATCAAAAATTTTGTTATGATATAAAAAATCGTTTTTATTAAATTTGACTAGAAATTAATTTCAAAAATCCTCTAAATATTTGTCTCTTTAGAGTTGACTATTTATCCAAACGGAAGAAACCTCCTCTCGGATCGATCCGTATTTATACTGGCGTGCACATCGTTTCAGACAAGTTAGGCCGTGACGCAGTAGTTTACAACGCCCAACTTTCTCCCGACGGTTACAAACGGGTTCGATGGGACAAATCGAAACGACTCCTGCCTGGATCTATGCTCGTCTTTACCGGTACGAAAGATTTCTTCCGGACAGCCTATTTCGCAACTGTGGCAAATCGAGACGTTGAGGAATTGAAGAAAGGAGTCGTTTCATTCGTCTGGGAAGGCGATACCAGTCCTGCGTGGGATACTGCTGTAGAGTATCTCATGGTTGAGTGTGAAGTGTATTTCGAGTCATTCCGGTAAAAAAACTAAAAAACTATGGAGTCTAAAAAATCTATATTATCGCATATTTCGGTATTTAACTGTTATAAATTTGCCCTGCTTCCTAGATACACGTTACAAACCTTGAAAGAATTGGATCTACAAGACTTCCCCATGCACAAATTTATTGTTGAGGCCTCGTCAAGTGTTTCACCGCCGAAATACTTGGAGGAAGCGGAACACACCATGAAGATCCGATTGCGTAATAATGATGAAAGAAATTTTTCTCCCCTGATAGACCACGAGTGGCCCACTCCAGAAGAGTTGGGATTGGATAATAATCAATTTGTGGCATACAAAGCAGCAATTACGAGAGAATTTGCTATCATCCAGGGACCGCCGGGCACGGGGAAGACATTTCTAGGTAGGCATGTAGATAAATACTGAATTTATCGCAATCATTAATGGAACTACTATATTTTGTATATTTTATTACGATTTAGGGCTTAAAATTGCTGAGACCCTCCTTATGAATGAGGAAGTGACCCAGACGGCGGGTCCCATTGTAGTCGTCTGCTACACAAATCACGCGTTGGATCAGTTTCTCGAAGGAATTCTTGAGACTTACACAAAAATTCCTGGGGCCAAAGGTCGTGCTCCAATTATTCGTGTGGGAGGACGATGTAAATCTGAAAAGCTTGAGGAATATATTCTTGCTAACGTTACAAAACGTGAACGTCCCAGGTTGCCCGGCGATTTCTATAGCAATAGGGACGAACTCCGCCGTCAAATTGATGAGTGTCGGTGTGTTTCACAAATTTTGCTACTAATTCTATTATACGTACAAGTATTGTATCGTGAAACTGTGTTTTTCTCATTTAAGGTATCGCCGGTCTGAAATGATGTATGAGATCTCAGCGTTAAAGAATGTTCAGGGTGAGAAAATATTTTAACATTTTAAAAGTTAGATTCTATGTAATTGTAATGATATTATTATTCTCCCACATATTTCAGGCATTGTAAACCTTGAAAAAATGTCTGCCTTTCCCCAACTCCGGGATGAATTTGTATCGCCAGCAATCTGGGCGAATCTTAAAACTCCTGCTTGGTTCGGCATATCAGACAACCGTTTCTCCCATCGTAACTTTCATGCTGACGATTTTGTCCGACAAATGTTTCAAATTCTTGATGTTCCTGTCGGAAATGTTAATCACGTAGCTGCAGCATCGCAACATTATGAATCTCATCCATCTACTTCAGCTCCACAAGATCCTGAGGAGACTGCCCCCGATGATGAAGAAGATTACGATGTCGACGAATTATTGGCCAATCGGATAATCAACGTGGATAATGTTTTTGCCGAAAGCGACAATGCGGATGTCCATTCCGGAAATAAACTCTTGTACCTTGCCGGTATATCAATTTGCGATTTCGACACAGAAATTTTCAATTTAAAAGAAACTATCAAAAAACTGGACGAGCAAAGTACCATGGGGCCTAAGACTCGAAGACGGGAAATAGTTATGGAGAGGAATAACATCAGCTACTCGTTAGCAATTGCGGAAAATAAGAGAAGTTTTCTCGAAAAGCTTTTCACTTATTATCGTGTTGAACAAATCTGGCTGCCTGACGTGTCCAAAATTTTGGAGCAAATTAGGAAAGGCGATGAAATGGAAGAGATTTTGAAGTTACTCCCACAAAATGCGAGATGGACCATTTATTTCGAAATCGTAAATCGTGCCAGAGTTCTCGCAGCGGAACGGGCATTCCAGGGCGGAGAAAAACTGATTGCTTTGCAAAAGAGGCAAAGGGAAAATCAGAAATTTGTGGATGGAGTTATCCTTCGAGAGAGCAAAGTTGTCGGGATGACGACTACGGGAGCGGCCAAATATAACGATTTGTTGAAAATGATGCGCTCTAAGATTGGTTAGTATCTATTATTTAAACTGAATCTAATTACTCAACTACATATCTTTTTTCAGTAATTGTGGAGGAAGCAGCAGAAGTCTTGGAGGCGCATATCGTTACCTGTATCACAAAACATTGTGAACATTTAATCTTGATCGGTGACCATCGCCAACTTCAGCCAAATCCAAATGTTTTCGAGCTAGCTACTCTGTTCAAACTGAACATTTCCCTGTTTGAACGAATGATTAAAAACGATTTGAATTGGTACCAGCTGAAAGTAAGTCACTGAATGAGTATAATATGTTCTGTAAACTTTAATTAAATATTTGTATTTTATTTTATAGCTGCAACATAGAATGCGCCCCGAAATTGCCGCACTGGTTAAAGACACGATCTACGACGAACTGGAAAATGCTCCCAAAGTGTACCAATATCCTCCAGTTATGGGCGTGACGAAGAACTTGTACTTTATTTCCCACAGCGAGCTCGAAAAATCCGTTAGTCGTACTAATTTTAATATGTTAAAAGTTGTGAATGTTGGTTGATTTATTACTTTCAATCATTCAAGGAGACTGACTCTCTCAGTAAAGTTAACGATTTTGAGGCCCGCTATTTAGGAGGTCTTTGTCGCTACTTGCTCCTCCAAGATTACCGTCCAGACCAAATTACTATACTCACGACTTATCTGGGACAAATGTTCGCCTTAAAAAAGGTGCTTGGAACAATGGCAAATTGCAAAGGGGTCCGTGTCACTTGCGTAGATAATTTCCAAGGAGAAGAAAACGACATAATTCTACTTTCTTTGGTCAGAAGTAATCACGAGAGTAAAATTGGCTTTTTGAGTATTGAAAACCGAGTCTGTGTTGCACTTTCCAGAGCCAGGTGGGTTTAAGCTAATCCGAAGTATACAATTAAATGCTTTAATTATTGTTAAATTATCTCCTTCCACCTTCCAGACACGGTCTCTTCATCATTGGCAACATGACACTCCTCTCCGACAAGAGTGAAACATGGTTAGCAATGTTTGAAAAATTCGATGCCCGTTCTGAAATCGGGCCAAATTTAACCATAAAATGTCAAATTCATTTCACCGAGACACAAATAAGTCGCGGAGAGGAGTTCCAACTGTTCTCGCCGGAAGGTGGATGTCAAGTCGTCTGTGACGAACTTCTCTCCTGCACCCATCGATGTGTCCAAGTTTGCCACGTGAAGGATCGAGCACACAAGGAGTATGCATGTAGACAACCCTGTATCAAAACTTGCAAAGAGGGACATCTCTGTCAGTCCCCCTGTTACAGAACGTGTCCCCCATGCCTAGTTCTGGTTGTGAAATCGCTCCAACCAAAATGTCATCACGAAGCAAGAATGCCTTGCTATAAGGATCCAAGCGAGTATTTTTGTCGTGAAATTGTCATGAAAAAACTTCCCTGTGGCCATGAGACCGAACTCTCGTGTCATTTTGACCCCACCTTGTACCCATGCAAAGTCATGATGGACCGGACTCTCCCGTGTACTCATGAACGCGTCTTGGCCTGTCATATCGATCCAGCCGAGGTCACTTGCAAAGTCCCGACGGTCAAAAAATTACCTTGTCTGCACGAGAAGGAAGTTGAGTGCCGCATTTCTCCCGAGATGACGAAATGTGAGATGAAAGTTGAGAGGACATTGGAGGGTTGTGGCCACGTGGTAATTTACATTATTCATCTCGTAATTAAATGGTTCGAATTTTTATGACTTTGCTTATTTCAGGCGGAAATTCTCTGCCACCAAAGAGACAAAAAGAACATAATGTGTCGAACAAGGTGTCCCGTCCGACTCCAATGTGGACATGCTTGCACCAAATACTGCCACGTTTTAGACGACCCACACCATTTGGACTATAAGTGTGAGAAAAATTGCGGCAAGGGATGCGGAGAAGGTAAACTATAAAGATAAACGTTTCATCCATAATAATATGCATCACTTATCATTTTACACTTATCCTTACCAAGGTCACCCATGTCCTGCCAAACACGCGTGTTGCAGACCCTGTCCACCTTGTTTAAAAATTATGGATCGCGAACTGCCATGCCTTCACCAGCAAAAACTTCCCTGTCACATCGACCCGACTTTGTACGAGTGTAAAGAACGCTGTATCAAGTTGTTGGAAGGTTGTGGACACCAGTGTCAGAAGCTCTGCTACCAGCCTTGTACCGATTGCAAGGTTAACTCCGAAATTTCTGAAACTTTTCTGTAAATAATTTTTCAACAATTGTTGTTGTTGATTAGATCCCTGTGGAGAAACAAGGTGCGAAGTGTGGACACAAAATAGTGGTCCCTTGTGACACTCTACCAACTCAAGACATGTGCGAGACTCTCGTCCCGGCGGTGAGCCCTTCCCCATGCGGTCACGTGGTCATGGTTCCCTGCAAACTAAGCCAACTGGGTAGGAATTTACGACTCATTAATTTAATTTGTTACAAATAACTCCAACTTTTAATCTTCTTGTAGCTCCTCCCTCCCTACTTCTGACTTTGTGCAGTGCCCCATGCAACAAAGAATTTTCTACAGCTGAAGGAGGATGTGGACATGAATGCAAGGGGACGTGCTCCTCCTGCTGGCAGGGACGATTTCATCAAAAGTGTCAAGAAAAATGTGGAAGGCCTTTGGTTTGTGGTGATGTGTACGAAATGAAATTAATTAATTACTTCCGTGGTAGTAAACCTGACTTTAAAAATTATTCTGACTAGCGATTCTATTTCTATTTTTACATATTAGTTGTGACTTCCCCTGTGCCAAGTCTTGTCCACCTTGCAATAAACAGTGCCATATGAAATGTGAGCATTCTGAGTGTCGCCAAAAATGTGGAACCCCTTGCTTGGATTGCAGTGTAAGGAGTTCACACATACATATTTAAATATTTTAAATAGTTTGACAAGGTTGGACTTGTTATTGTAGGAACCCTGCCCGTGGCAATGCGACCACAAGCGATGCACCAAACTGTGTCGCGAGTCATGCGACCGGTCCCCATGTGACGAGCCGTGTCTCAAACGCTTGCCATGTGGACATTCCTGTCTAGGATTTTGTGGAGAGCCTTGCCCACCCATTTGTCGTGTCTGTAATGAGAAGGATGAAATGTTTACAATTTTCTTCGGAGATGAGGACGAAGAAGACGCTCGGTAAGTTTATTAACTATTTTTAATTAATTTTGTTAATTATTCTAATGATAAATTAATCTTCATTTGTAGTTTTGTCTATTTGCCCGATTGCAAGCATTCTATCGAAGTTTTTGGACTCGCTCATTGGATGGAAATTTCCCCCGAGCAGGACGACGAAATTGGGATGAAACATTGTCCCCGTTGCAAAACTTTGATAAAATATTGTCGCAGATACAACAACTTGATCCGGGATCGATTAAAGGATGTCGTTGCCGTAAAGAAGAAAAGTTTTGGGAATACGGAAAATGTGAAAAAAATTCAAAACCAAATCGTTCAAAAACTGAAGGTTGATACAGGAAATGGTTGGAGCGCAAATCTGAAAACTTTTCATGAGTATTTGAGAGATAAAGTTGTTGACATTGTCCCCGTAAATGATTATAAAAGGAACAAACTTAGACAAGGAACCAACCTGTTGGTTTGGAAGCATAAGAAGGTATAGGATTGGATAGGAAATTATAAGTTAAAATTTCGCAATTAATGTTTTTTTTTTTAATTTTGTAGGTCAACGAGTTTACTATGAATTCTATCCAATTCTTGGTTGGCTGCGCTGAATCTGGGATCCGTACGTTGACTAAGGCCCGAAATCGTCCAGAACTAGAAAATCGTGGAGGATTAAAACCCGAATTATTGGATCAACTCTCTGCAAGATATCTGGACTTGTTTGCCAACGTTCGAAAGCGATCCCTACCTTTAAGTCGGATGGAAATGAGGGACATTGAACAAGAACTGGAACGACTTTTTGACTTGTATCAAGTCTACTTGCGTCGATCCAGTTCCAAATTTTATGATGGACACACCCAAGCCACGCCAATTTATGAGAAGACCCTCGCAATTGTCGAGCATCCTGCAGCGTATCGTGCCGATAGGCGGGGAGAGTTGCACAGCTTGTTTAAGGTACATACATAATCCTCTGGTCAGGTTGGAGCTGAAGTATAATTATGTATAAGCATACTTTCTTTTTAGAAAATGGAAGACGTTTTAAAAACGGGCCTCGCCATTTCGGACATGGAACGACGTGATATTCTCAAAGTCTTCGCAGAAAAAAATGAAGGAAGGCCAGGACGCTGGTTTAAATGTAGGAATGGACATTATTACATAATTGGGGATTGTGGTGGTGCTAATCAAGCAGCTTTGTGCTTCGAGTGTAAAGCTCCGATCGGTAAAATTATTAGAATTTTAGCAAGTTTTGTTTTTCTTCTTAATTTGAGTATATGTTTTATTTTCTAATGCAGGCGGGACTAGTTATCAGATAGCACCAGATAACCGACTTGCTACGGAGATGGATGGGGCAACTCGGTCACTTTGGGGCAACATCCCTGCATAATTATTTTGAATAAGAGCTTTAAGCTTTCACACAATTATAATTTATCAAAATTATAATTAAAGTATTATGTTAATGATAAAACACATTTGATTTAATTAATACAAGTGGGTAACTTGAATAAATTGGTGTGTATTAATCATTCTGTATTGCTGATATTTTATTAGACCACCGACTTAAACATTGTCTATATTATGTACTTTATGAGCGTCAAACATACATATACAAGGGCACAATTTTGTCTGTACATAAAATTCGAGTGATCTTCCCGATGCATACATGCGAGAATACCTACATACATATCTACTTAAATATGGAAAACTTTTACGGCTCCACATTGACGAAAAAACCATTCTCTGTCATCTGCGTGATCATAAACCCTGCTGCCAAAAATTTCAAAATTACAAGTTCAATCTTTATCTTTAGCTTTTTTATCCATTTCCTTCTCCTACGAATGAAATCTCAATTTCCATAATTACTTGTGAATATAAGTACATTATTGTAAAACATTTATAAAACTGTTTCTTGTAAAATTATAATTTTATATTTCGAACACAAATCCTTAAATTACTCACTTTCTTACTTAATCCTTCTCCAAGCTCTAATCGCTTCCGGTTTATATCTGAATTCAACGGCTTCATAATTTTTGTCTTGTTCCTTAATTTCCTTCCACGTCATCCCACTAAACACTTCGGAGGGTTCCTTCTCATTTGGGAGTTGCATGTAGACGAATCCAACTGGAACTAAAATTTAAAAAATTAAAATAAAAAACATCTCTTAATTTTACATAACATTTGTCTTCTCACCCGCGTTTGACTTGACCTTCGCAAAATTTCGCGTCATTTCTTGCAAATTCCACCGTACCATTTCCACCTGCATGTTCAACGAGGTAACGTTCGAGTTCAACTTTAGCGCAGAGATCATCTCGCCCTTTAAATCGTTGACCTCGTTGATCAAGTAGGATTCCAGCGTGGCGACCCTTTTCACAAGCCAGTCACTGGTTGATAAGGTCGCCTTGTCGTTGTTGCGTGGTGGTTTTTCGTCAATATAAAATTTTCCTCCTTTGTCCCCACAAATGCCGGAGACTAGGTAAAAAAGGGATATATTTCTAAATTATTAAGTAATGAAACCAGGGTAAAAGTTTAGATTAAGTTAAATATTCTACCGGAAATTGACAAAATTACAAAAATTGTCGCGGATTGGGGCATCATTTTTAAACGGGTTTAAATTTGTTCTCGTACAATTATTTATTTCTTGTTGTTGGCTTGCGCTGCTATGATTTTACTTTGGCGATATGCCTCCTTTTATATGAAAATGGACGGACAGATTTCTCTTGTAGTTTTTAAAATTAGATAGTTTTCTTTGGGGAATTCCGACCGGAAACAATGACAGTTTAATTCATAAATAAGTATTTGTGCCATATCAAAGTGGAAACTACGCAGGATTTAATTGGAAATAATAGTATTTATTTAGGGCCTGGAACTTTTTGAGTTAATTTAAATTTATCCATGTATTTATTATACAATCAATGACATAATTTTTATTCATACGTGTACTCTATATTTATGTATGTGCATGGATAAATACTTAAATTATTTAAGTTAAATAAGTAGGACAAACAGGAAGTATGTATGCATATAAATAAATTGATGCGTATGAAAATCAGAATTAATCAAAATGCTAAGTGAGCTACCTTCTGCATCTGTTACAATTTTATGCATTATGGATTTGTTGATACATGTATTGCGTAAATCGTCTAAGCACCGATATATTAAATTGCATTCATTTAATTCACTTAATGCTGCCGGGTTAACATATACATAAATTTATCATTCTGGTTTTCCCGGAAATTCAATTTATAATTACTTTAGTATAACCAATTGTCAGATCTTACATATTTGTACTCGTCGTCCGAGCTGTGATAAGTTAGTACTGATAAATTGGCGGAAGTTAACATCGAATCGAATCGAATGTTATACTAGATTACTCATTTCCATTGATGTTTAAATTTGCAAATATTCTACATGAGTAAATTTGAGAAAGAAACATAAGATGACTTTCATTTTTGTATTTATCATTTATTATTGCAAAACATTATGGTTAAAATTTTGAGTTAAAATATTGAATTTTTTTTGAACATCTCATCTCCGCGGATTTGCTTATCGTCTACCATTATTATTGTTATTATTATTATTCCCCCCTCCTCCCCCATTGTTATTATTGTTGTTATTATTGTCGCGCCTTTTGCGACCATTGTTGTTATTATTGTTATTATTTCCGCCCCCATTGTTATTATTATTGTTATTATTATCGCGCCTTTTGCGACCATTATTGTTATTATTATTATTATTGCTAGTACCCCCTCCACCGTTATTATTGTTATTATTATTATTTGCTCCTCCTCCCCCTCCATTGTTGTTATTGTTGTTGTTATTCGTTTGGCGTTTCATCCTTCCGTTATTGTTGTCATTGCTGACACTCCCGCTTCCATTATTGTTGTGGTCGTGATTATTTGTTGACCCGCCGCCATTGTTGTCATTATTGTTATTTGTCACTGTTCCATTGGCAGAATCACTGCTGCCAGGATACGGAGCTGGGACGGCGTTGGCTATCCATGGCAAAACAATGGCACACAAGGCAAAAACCTACATAACAAAATCCGTACGTTAAAAAATGGTAAAAAATTCAGAAATTTGAAAATAAGGCTAAATTACCAAAATAACGCCAGATTTGTTCATTTCTGAACACAAGTTATTTTAGAACGTATTTGAATTTAAAGTATTCCTGACAGTTGTGTCTTTTGGAATGAAATTTCAAAGTTGAGAGGGTCGCTTTATATGATAAACTGCAAAAAGCCAAATCTTACAGGCGAACGGAATTGTCTTTAGTCGGTAATTGTTACAAGAAATGTAATGGACACTAGGCAGAAAAATTAGGAATTTATGCACTTACTGAGTATGCCGTAAATGATTATATGTATTTACTCGTACGATTTTTATGTGATATATTTAGCATTTTCTCTGTGGATCATTTTCCTTCCTAATTGCTGAGTCTACAGGGTAAATTATTTGCCAAAAACAGTCCTAATGACCCCAGTAATTGTTATTTTATTCAGGTAAAAGTAATTCTTAAAATATCGACACACGTAACCACTCAATACTCGCTTACATAACCTATTTACACTCTTTCTTTACTAGATAATGAATTTAGGGGGTTTGAATAGTACGTGTTTAAATGACACATAATAATAACGCCGTATTAATTCGCACAATAACAATCTCGCAGAAGTTGCAAATTTTTCTTTGCGGTCACATAAGATGTTTTTTTCTGCAGAAAACAATTAGAGCTAATTATGTATGTATTTTCTCAATTTCCTAGTTAATGATGACTTCCCATTTCGCGAATCATTATACAACTTCTAAATTACACTTTAACAGTTGAAACGTTTATAACATCGTGATTTAAACGTGGCTAATTATTTACCAGGTAAGAATACAGAGTTAAATTTATCTATAAAGTATTGAAAAGGATAACATAAGTAATTGTAATATTTATCAGACGCGACGGCCATCGAGGTAAAAAGGTACATTGTTTTCAGATCTATGAGAAATTTTATCAAGATCAAGCGATAAAATGAAATCCATGATTTTGGTAAGCAGAGAGTATAAATTAACACACATTTAAGCCAACATTGGGGGTATTCATTATGAGTTTGCATGTTCGAGACGCAACATAATTTTTTTAAAATTGCGAACTAAATACTAGCCTTGGGGATGTTCAAGTTCGCATAGAAATTTGTAAGCCAATTTTTTTCGAACTTGCCAACTTTTTTTTGCCAACATTGCTAACGTTAACTCATAATGAATACCTTCATAATGCACTAATTTACTAAAAAAATATCAAACATGTTAAGGTTCTTGTCGTCATGATAACGGGTGGAATCGCCTCTGCGTCCACATTTAATAACAACAATAACGACTTCCCAGACAGGACCTTTAACAACAACAATGATCAGTTTATGGGATCAACAAACAATAACAACAACAATAGATTTCCAGGTACAACAAATAATAACAATAATAATGGATTCCCTGGATCAATAACTAATAATAACAACAACGGGTTCCCCGGGGGGTCGATAAATAACAATAATAATGGATTCCCTGGATCCGGGTCAATCACAAACAACAATGGATTCCCTAATTCTCCACCTAATAACAACAATGGGTTTCCTCAGGGCTCATTTACTAACAACAACAACAATGGACTTCACTGGTCAGGTACAAATAATGATAACAACATTGACAACTCGACCGGCATTGATAACACAACTGGAGCCCTATTATCCGAATCAGGTTCCAGCGGCAATAGCCCAACGTCTACCATCTTAGGTCCACCGTCATCTTTTCCAAACAATCGGTGCCCTTTTGGACAACTAATTAATAACAATAATGGGGACAAACAGGTCTTATGTCTGGGTAAGAATTTGAATATGCATATTCTCTCACACTATATTTTTTTGATATCACGTTCTTTAATATTTATTAATTCGCATGTCTTCCAGCCAAAGGAATCCAATCAGTCACAAACAATAATAATAACAGTCACTGAAAAATATTTGGACACGGACTCTTGTCGTAAAAACTTGCAATGCATTCATTTTTCGAAACTATTACGGACGAATTGTTTAATAAAAAATTATTATGAATTTCTAATGGGCCTTGGAATAATTGAGAATCAATAATTCGTACTTATAATTTATTCGTTCATGTCATCTAGAAAATGAAGTTCTTTCTTTGGTAAAAAGATAGCATATTTGTAATTATGGAATTATGTATGAGACTCTGTACATACAGCGAAATGGTTCTTTCTTTCACGTAGACTGAATTATCATATTTTAGAACGTCAATTAAAATCTGGAATATCGTTTAGTCAGTTTTTATTTACATGCCAGGTAATCCTAAACGAAGTAATTCTACATACATACATATTTACCATTCGCTATAAGCAATTGGGAATCTAGTCATGAACCAAAATCAACTTGTTTTGATTTTATTTTATTCACAAATTTATTTCTGGATAAACGTTTCCTGCGGTGAGTTAATACTTAATAGGCGTACTCACGACAAACTTAATATACATAGCTTGAAAATTTTGAAAATTGTGCGTATGCTTAAGATATCGCAAAATTTATAAAACCATGCAATTTTTGTTTTGCATTTCCGAAACAACGATATAATAAAGTTTGAGTTTGGTGCGAAATAAAATGTTGTCGTGAGTACGCCATTATTTTTAGTTACTAGTAAAGATACGCATTGTATACTATATTAATTGGTCCATTGATTTTTAGAAAGTCCTATAACTTTAACATTAACGTTGCAAATACCGAGGGTGGTGGTGGAAAAGTTGCAAATACCCCGGTGCAAAATATATCACCTAGTAAGAACTTGAAATTTTGCTGAGAAATTAAGATTTAATAAATATATTTAATTATATATATTTAATACACAGACAAAGTTGGAAACAATGATGTAAGTTAAAAACCGATAAGTAATACAAAATGTATCATTTAAATTTTAAACTTCATGCAAATAATAATTAAGTACCTTTAGTGCTTCCACTATTTAAAACGTAAATTTCAAATTTTTAATGTCAGGCTTGCATTCCAACAAGGGAACCGTGTAAAGGGGACGGTAGTTGGGGGAACTGTTGCAGTAAATATTGCAACCAGCAAGCACAACTCCCTTACGGAAGCTGTCACTAACTTAATTAATTAACTGATTACGTTATGAAATGTAATACAAATAAACGAATATAATTGACGTCACAAGAGATTTGTGGATTTAATTGAATGACAATTATTTATTTTAATTCAATCTCCGGTTACTGGGCAAATGGCATAAAGATCATGTTTGTGCATTTGTCAAGCAGATAATGCAATTATGCAACAGGCCTCTTGATTGTCTGGGTAAAGAAAACTGATTTTGTCATATTTTTATTATCCTAGCTAGATAAATTCGTACATTTTCAAACCATATATCAAACATAATCATTAAAATCACTGAAATATCTATGGGTAGATGATACAAATGTTATCAAAATATTGAAAGAACCACGTCTAAATTTTTGTAAAAAATTTTACAAATCAGTTACTCGAAACTTATTATTATTAGATAAATACATGGATTACTTAGAATTAAGATTAGGATGCAACTTATTGCCTTACATCCAGAAAGTGAAGGTCGTTAGTAATAAATTGCATAATTTTTCAATTATTAGTCTACAGCGAAATTGTTTCACGTCGACTGAAATTATCATGAATATTTTAAAACGTCAATTTAGTTCTGGAATATCGTTCGGTTAAATTCTTACATGTCAGTCAGTAATACTGGAAACAATTCAACTTGTTATTCGCAATTCGTCATGGACCAAGTTTATCGAGTTGCATTGATTTTATTTTATTCAATAATTTATTTCTGGATAACAGTTTCCTGTGGTGAGTTACTAATAGGCGTACTCACGACGACCTTAATCTAGTATCTAAATTTTGAATTAGTTGAAAAGTTCGCAAATATTTTTTATAAAACCATGGGATTTTTTGCAAATAATTTTGCTATATTTAAAACTATGGTACTTTTGTTCGTATTCTTTTACGATTTAGCAATTTGCATAATTTGTACATGATTTCTAAACGAATTGCGGCGCGAAGTAATGTTGTCGTGAGTGCGTCCACTATATTTAATTATTGACCACGATTAGTATATACGAACTACTTAGGATTATTTTGACATTAATTGACCCATTGATTTTTAGAAAGTCCCATTTATAACTTTAACATCAACGTTGCAAATTCCGATGCTAGCGGGAAAGTTTCAAATAATCCCGTTCAAAATACTCCAACGACTAAGCAAAGTGAAATCCTAGCGAGAAATAAAGATTTAAAATATGCAGGAAAATTTGGGAACAAGATGTATTTTACCCTTCCAACTGCTGTAAGCTAAACATGCAAAAACAATTAAAATGTATATATCATTTTTAATTTATTGTTCATATAATTTTTGTGACTAAAGATTCGATCTTCATAAATTCATATTTGAAGGGTTCTTGGAAGTATGCAAGGGACGCATGCGCAGGCGCCAAACTGCAAATGATAGCACTGGCCTCCTATGCAGAGCGGGATTATATAAACAACGCACTAGGGACGAGCACTAGTATGTTAATCAACGATTTAATTTAATTTTTACATAATTTGTATTTAAAAAACTGGAATCGATGCATGCATACAGCTCACCTTCGTTGGTTACGATCTTTTACCGAATGTGCATACATACATACATACATACATAGACTCGATGAAAATAGCACTGTCAATTTTTTCCAGGCACAAGGGTGTTAATAAACAGGTATGACCTATTTCAGGGTATTGGACCTCTGGGAAGCAGGTGGATGCCTACAAATGGGAAAATGGAACAAATGTCGGCCTAGTGTACAGATCAGCCTGGATAGAAAACTGTCTCCTCATTTATTTCGGGGGGATATACGCAGATCCTTGTAATGGGAAGGCATTCGAGTACTACCCACTCTGCCAGACAGATTCAGATAACTAAATACACATTTTTAAATGTTACTCCGCTTTTTTATCTCGTCTTGTTCAGAACTTGTCAAAAAATAAATTCATTTGTACATAGCACAAATGCTTGCACACATTAATATATAATGTATTAATTAATGTGTCAGTAAATGGTTTTGTGTAAATATGACTGTATCTAAAGCGATTATGGTCTTGTCACCCCATAAGAGTTGTCTCACATCTCTATGTAGGATATGCAATTCCTACACAATAAAATTGCACGGATAAGATATAATTTGTAGCATAAATTCACACACTGTTAAAATTATTAGCGTTTATTTCGAATCAAGAATGGAACAGCTATGTAAATTGTTGCATTATAATTTATTTCGTCACGATTGCCAAATCTATCAATTAATAACTTGGTGTTGGACACGGGCCACCCCCACCACCAATTAATTCAAGCAGTTCATCGATCGTGTATTGCCCAATCCATCCGTTCCCAGCCAGCCTAATCTTCTCCGTTATTGCGGCCTTGTTAGCAGCAAACTCTGCATCGAAACAAGCCTTGAGTCCTGCCGACCAAGACTCCCATTCGACCGGCGATCCACCAATGAGCCAATTTGGACCAAACGACATTGACACGTCACCCCCAAACGACAACGTGTTAATGGTCAAGGTTCGAATGGAAAGCTTGTTCGTGATGAGGTTGGCGAAAAGGACGACGCGGATGTCAAGTTCTACTTGTGAAGCGTCCAAAAATGCGGATCCATTTCCTGAATAGTTTCCGGATGGAACGCAAGCTTGTGAAAATGGGCGTGCGTCCAAGTACCCGGTCGCGTCATATTCGCCCGATAGATGAACTGAGGGTAAAGTGAGGTGAAAGTCCAAGGTCAAAGTAATCAGAATTATGGTGTACTCGTACGAGAGCCCAGACAATCCGGTGGCAAGTAGGTCACTGATTATAATTAAATTAGAAATTTAATTTTTTATGATAGAGAAACTTTCGAATTTACCCGCGAGAACTGCCCATATCAATTCGGAACAAGGGATCGAGTGTGGCATTGATCGGTTTGGCAGGCGAATTGAGTGGATCAGGGATCGCTGAAAAGTTAAGATTTCGTTTTTAATTTAATTTGTGAGTATTTAATTAATTAAGTGCTCTAGACTTACGACAAGGCGGTCCAGTTTCTCGAGTGTCCTTAAGGATTGCTGCAGAAGAGGCCGCAGCCAGAAGTACAATAATTCCAAATAGTTTCATTTTTGGTTGATTTTAGTTTATCGGGATATCTCTGACTCTTGCTCTGGTCGACAAGTGATGCTTTCAATCCGATTCTGAGAGGATTTTATACTTTTGGCTTATTGGCTTATCTCGCAAAACACCTGCTCCGAGCTACAGCCACCTGTTTCAAAGAATCCACCTGTTCTGAAAAGCACACCTGCAGTGTATTTGTACATAATGATAAGTTACACTTCCACAATAAGTGTGGATAGATCGACTTATCTGGAAGGTTGGTTAACAAGAAGGGCCAAATTGGGTTGTGCAATCAACAGGTGGGACATAGACAATGATGGTAACAATTTAAATTAATAATATTTTTGGACTTTTCAACTTGGACTTTCACAATGTTAATTTGTTCACGCTCTGACAGCGTTGGTTATTCAAGTAATCATAACTTGTCAACCAGATCTCCGTACAATGCACAAATTAAGTTGCCTACCATATGTACCAAAATCGGTCATATGAAAAAAAACATTGAGCAATTTTAATAAGCAAAGTTTAAATGAGTAAAGCAATCGGCCAACAATTTGCCTTGTTTTCTCCAGTGCCATTCAACTCTAAAACATCAAATCTAAACGTAATCAATTCATTTATGAAATGCTACGTCCATTTTGATGTAATATTGAAAACACGAATCACATATCGTCGTTGAAGCTGCCAAAAGGGCCATCTCCATTTTGTGTCAATTGACACAAAATGGAGATGGCCCTTATGGCAGCTTCAACGACGATATGTATGTAAGCACGCTCACTTTCCATGTATGTATCACCATGCAATGTTGATTGTCTCATCTTTATGCATATTGAAAGAAACGTGCACATATTTTTAACATAGGTAATTGACTTGTCGATTGGTTAATTATGTAATACACCAACTATTGTAAGACTTATCAAATCGTAAGTTTTTATTGACTAATATTTATCATGATGGTACAACAGTTAACCTTTAATGCAAAAATTGTCCTTGAAGAGAAAGCATTGGATATGCATTTCTTCTGTGACACTACTTGGAGGGTAAATATGTATTTATGTATGTACACATGTATGTGCATAAATTCTTTCACAGAAAACAAGAAATCCTGAGATCGTGCCGTTTCCCTGACGCTTTAGGTACCCGATTGATTCAACAACATAAAGAGCTTGGGGTAGAAATGAGACTGGTTTGAGATTCCAATATAAAATTGAACTTTAATAAGCAGATGAATAAAGGTGATGACGATTCTAATTTAATTCATGTCCCGTTTACCACAAAAATCGTCGAACTGACTAGAACAAATCAGGTAAAATGTGCAGATGCAAAATTAATATCGGACATCGTGGCGAAGAACTTGTACAATTCATACATTTACATGTGCACGAGCGTGACTAACTCCTTTTTGATTTGGCATGATCAATTTTTCTCACCTGAGTTGTAACTATATTTGTAAGTATTTCTCATTTATCTTGGTCATATTCTGGAAAAAACGTGATATTTACATAGGTATATAGGAGTGACCCTTCAGAGGTTTCCTCCGTTGTCAGTGCGACGACATGATTCATATCACGGTACAGTGGCCGAAGATGCCAACTTTCTCCACCTGTAACCATGCAGGAATGAGCTCGGAGAAAGCTAGAGGTTTATCTGACGGCGAGGAAGAGAAAGTGAAATTTCTTTTCCATTCAACAACCTGGCTGGATAGTGATTACTGCTTACAAAAATTGCACATTACAATCTTTTACTCCTACTGCATAATTACTATTGCATAATTAGAGAATTGCAGTTTTATATATCTGTATTCATCTGAATATAATTGACATCGTAAAAATATGGCAAAAGGAAAATTTAATCGGTTCGAATTCTATCAATTCGTAATGACAATGTTGAGTTTGACCCTGAATATCGTCACGGTGCTGCTGGTAGCGAGAAAATTCAGGATTAAGCGGATGTTGAGGTGACGTTATTTAGATTAATTGCAATATATTTGTTAACTAATAGTTATGACTAATTTAAATATTTCAAAATACTAGACAATACGATTACTTGGTTGTATACGTTTCCATGACGGCCATCGTCGCTGCGTCGACTGGAATGTTGTCCCTGTTTGGTCGTGGGGTTTGGCTGACGGGAGATCTTGCCTGTCCCACAACGGCATTCATTTCTAGTGAGCATTGTAAAATTCTAGATTTTATCGGCGTTAAAAAATTGCTTATCGGTTAACAATACAATTTAGTCGGATTTCTGCAGTGGTTTTGATCAACGTGTTCCCGGCGGGCGTCCTTGCCCTAAACTACGACCGGATGAAAAGTCTTCTCAGGATGAGCTCATCTTCAGCTCATCCTGACCTCATCGTGAGCTCATCGTCAGTAGTAACCTCGACTAGAGTCCATTTCCTGCTCATCTTCGCATGGGGGATATCTATTCTAACAGCTATTCCACACTTTTTCACCACCGCTTATAACGCCAAGAAGTTTGAATGTTACAAGGCAAGTACATAAATTGTTTGCAATTTCTACCAATTTAATTGCTAATATTATATGACAGAAACTATTCAAAATTCAAATCAATTTTTTTTCTTCAGAAACCACTGTTGGACTTAAAATGGGCCATACTTACGTATGAAATCGTGAGGTACTCCATATTTCACGGGCTTGTGTCCTTCTACTTGATATTTGGTAAATTTTGTTGATTATGTATGATAGTTTTTAATAATCAAGTAAAATTGAAACTACTGTCTTTTGTAATTATACTTAACTCCAAACTAAATCCATGAAATTATACATAGAACTGTACAAATTGAGACGCATGCTGCCCTCAATGTTGAAGAAAAACGTACGTCAACCTCAAAGAATTGAGTTTCTTAAAATATAGCAAAATTCATTTTCGAAATCTAGTTTCTGCACAATTTTTCCACCATTTTAGGCTGATGGGACCCCTCATCTTCTCAGGTTCGTGTGCATCAACTCGATCGCCTTCGTCGTGACGTGGCTTCCCTTCGGTGTCATTCTGACCGTGTACGAGCACGTCCGCTCTTTAGATGCGGACAACTTCCCAATGACCAACTTTTCACTGTGGGTGATATTGTCGGCCTATCTCGTCGCCCTACCCCTCACCATCTTCGGGACGACAAAAGACCTCACGAAGAGGATTTTTCTTGGTCGAAGGGGTCGGCATGCTGTGGGTCTTGGAATTGTGCGACAAAGAAGGGTGACCTATTTGCGTGAAAGCCGCGTATAACAATCGTCCTAACAAGTCTTGATCGAGATTTGAAGGAGGAAGGAATAAATTTTATCCTGTACGGCTTAAAATGCTGTCAAAGTTAAATATCTCGCATAATTAATACGCAGGTTTTTTCAATCAAAATCTACTCAAATGCTATAAAATAATTACAAATAAAATAATTATCATATACACATTTTGCCTGGGAACTTAATTTATTATTTAATGTACATGTACGTAGTTAAGATTTATGTTACACACGATTCATGGAATTTGTCATGGAACAATAAATACTTTTCAATCATTACCACATATTTTCCTACAGGAAAATAGGCCTTATGTATATAATAATATATATAATAATCGTATGTATATAATTAACAAATAGATATTCTCTGATACTGATCACCATGGATGACTGAAGAAGCTACGCTTGTTAGATATTGGTATTTCATGACTGATCACTGCTTGGGCTACGTGGTGAGATCGACAACGTTGTGATTGAATTCTTCATGTATTGCCAACCACGCTTTACTCGAGAACGCTTGGAAGCACATCGCACAAGAAAATGGTCTCTTGGTATGACTTGAGTGTACGTGGGCCCGGTGAGAATTCTCACTATAAAAGTAAGAGGAACATCCTACGTCAATCAATTTAACAAATGAGAATAAAATTAGTCCCGATTTAAAAATAAATAGGTAATAATAATTCGGATAAAAATTTCCCACCTGGCCATTCACACTTGAACTTGATCTTGTGTGATTCCATGTGAGCAATATATGACTCTTTTTGATTAAGCACTTTCCCACACCTTAGACAGGTAAATTTTGTCCTAGTCGTAGACCAGCGGATTGGTGGAAGTCCTTTATATTTGTCAAACTTTGTCTTTTCTCGCTAAAAACCAAAAAAGGATGGTTAGCAATTCGATTAATTTTATTTAATTGCGACGTATTTGTAGTTCGATTATGTTACCTGGAATTTGTTAACCATTGTGGCGAATGGGGTGAAAATAATTTTTCCACGCTTACCACCTTTCGATTTTTTACTACTTTTTGGTGGCGCAGACGAACTTGCGCCTTTGGAGACTGGAACCGGGACGTAACCCACACCTGCGAGCGGATCGGGACCAACGGGGTCATCTTCTTCGTCATTTGAATTTTCATTAAAGCTCATCGTGAATTGAAGATTATTCGGTTTATCTTCGACCAGTTGTGTGGCGTTGGTAGGAAATTGGTTCCACATGGATGATTGAATTGCGTCAAATTGTCCGTCCTCTGTTGAATTCTCGACTTTAACTCCTTCCTCGATATCTACCTCGTCATAACCTCCAGCGATAGCGTCCCCTTCAATTTTTACTGGGTCTTCTTCCATCATCGCTTAACCTGGGGATTTGGTAATAAATAAATAGTAATATCAATGTCCAAATTTGTTATCTATTATATTTATAGGATTACCTGCCTTGTCTGAGTTAGAGACTATATTTCTGAGAATTTGTTAAATTTTCCTTGGGCAAAAATAAACTTGTAACTTTATTTGGCTTTTTAACTAACAGGATCCAGGATCTCTATAATTCCTCTACTTAAATCCACAACGTTTCATCCTTCATATAGTCATATTTGCACGACCAGTAATTGTTTATTAGTACCGTTATTGGAAATGGAAAAGGTTTATAATTTGAATTAATTTGCAAGAAATGTATTATATTTATGTTTTGCAATGAGCAGATGTTAAATGAAGCAAGTGTGTTTCGCTCTCCACTTTCCTGATGACAGTTCCCACGGCAAGGGTGAGACGGAGAAATAATTTCACATGCCACACAATACACAAACCACGGCCACGTACACTGGTCCGGATTGCTTTATTTGTTTGCCAAAACCTCTAGCTCTCGAACCATTCCATTTTTTCCAATTCTGCTTTCGGGAATCGAGATATGAAGTTCTAAGGGGCATAACTAATGCAATTTTAATTGACCACCACCCCTCTTGGGGGTGTGGTCACAGGTCAGTATTTATTTTCTCGCATTACCCCATCAAGTGGGGTGTCATTTGAAAGGTCTAATCAAGCTCTAAACAACCCCGACTATTATTTGGACATTATAGGCACACCCACAGCCAGGGGGTATGGTCAAAATACAAATTCGAAAGTTTTGTTTCGATAATTTTGAGGATGTATTTTCATGAAATGACAATATTCTATAGTTTTATGAAGTATTTCTTCCCTCTAACTTAATTAACAAAGAAAATAACACCAAACTTATAAATTTAGTTATGCCTCCTCAGGGGGTCACCACTTCATAAAATTCCCCCGCTCGTAATAAATTTTTTCGAGGGGTTCGTTTTACCATATTTCCTTCTCCAAGTAATGGGCAAGATATTTTGAAGCGATTGTGTTATTTGGAACACTCGAAAATTTCATACGTGACAATGATTGGAGCACTCCAGATATTTTGCTTACGGCAATTTGCAATTACATAAATTCAAATCTCTCTGCCTATTTGTAATGGTGGCAGCTGGTGGCAGCAGTTTTTGTAGATGAGATATGGGGGATTAATAATACATTTACGATTCCTCGAAATAGCACAGGAATAGACAGGAATTTCAACTTTAAGTTTTCCCCATTTAGCCCAATGTTACAAGGCAAGTTTAGGCATACGCCACGCCATAACCACTTGAACAATTCAAATGAAATTTTCCAAAATTAAACATCTATGTCAAAGGTACTGAAGACGGTACTTTGTTTTCGGATCGGTGAGAATAGGTTTTGGCCAACAAATGGAGTATTCCGGACCAGCGTGCCACGGAATCAAGAAATTTCACCGATTTTGGGATAATTTTGACCTAATAAGTATGGTAAATTTTATAATTAAGGTTCCCATGGATGACGCGTTGGCGCGTAATCTCACTCTGCCCCTATCCAATGTATTCAAATGCAATTTCTAAAATCGAATCAACTCCATGAGTTTTGAGATAAATGCAACTTTTGATATTTTAATCTAAATCTAATTTTTGGTACTACAAACAAGTCGGTTTGAAAAAATTAAAAAATTCATTTGCCAATTTTTCACAATAAATTTCCTCGAAAATGAATTTTTTAATTTTTTTTCAAATCGACTTGTTTGTATTACCAAAAATTAGGTTTAGATTAAAATATCAAAAGTTGCATTTATCTCAAAACTCATGGAGTTGATTCGATTTTAGAAATTGCATTTGAATACATTGGATAGGGGCAGAGTGAGATTACGCGCCAACGCGTCATCCATGGGAACCTTAACAGGAGAAAGATAAAGTTAATCGCTATCTCTCGAATACAAATTATCATACTACGTCAAATTACTATGAATTTTAGCATTCCGCTATAACCAATGATGTGATGCTCCCACCGATATAAAGTAACAAAATTTACCTAAGCTTAATTAAAATCTCATCACTCCTGCAATTCACAATATTATAATTTTCTCCAGAAATGGTAACATCTCCATCAGCCACTACATTCTCCAGGGTAACGTTATTCCCATGACTTTCTATTCGGCCACAGTTGCAATTTCTGAATGTGGCACAACCATCCCGAACCTTAATTCCTATGTCGCGTTGTGCAGATAGGAAACCTGTCCCAGTATAATTTGTCACCTGATTATCGACACTCCAGGTGACCGTAATGCCCTCAAAGTGTGTGTTATCCTTTTTCAAGCGATTAATTGTAATATCTTTCACCCTGTTATGGCTCCCCATCATCGCAACCCCATAATTTACGTCGGTGCAGGACACGTTGCTAATGTTATTATAAGAACCATAAAATCCTAACTTTGGGCCAGCATAGGTCACAATGCCGTAAAGCGAGTCTGCCATGACAATATTGCTCACAGTATTGTAAGACCCATGAATTCGGATACACTCGATGTCACAAGTATCAAATTTTATATTCTTCACGGTGTTTCTATCGCCTTGGATTAACAAACCCCAGAAACTGCTCGTAATTATTGAGCCAAATTTCGCATCTCCTTGAACCGTGATATTGTTCCGGTTTATGCAAAATTCTCCGACAAAGGTTCCTACACCCAGATTGATGGTGTCTCCGTCGGAGCAAAATTCCAAACAGTTCGCGAACTCGGCGGTATCTCTGGCGAAAAAGGTTGAAGACGTGGGAACGTCTAATTTGACGTCAAGAATCGAATGCATCCGAAAAATTGGTTCTCTCTTGGTTAGATTTTTGATCAGTTCTTTAGAATTTTTGATAATCCTGTGGTTATCAACGATATCTTCAATTCCACCGTAAACCAGGTCGTAAAACATTGATGTCCGATTACCCCGGATCTTATCAAATTCCAATACTTCCCACATAATTAGGCCAACGGCGAATAGGTCAGCTTGCAGGCTGTAGTTGGCCTGGCTCTGGCCAACTTCTGGTGCCATGTAGCATGGTGTGCCAACATTACCAGTGAGTTGGGCACTTTCGTCGGAAAAAATTTCTGAGATATATAAAAATAAATATCAAAATTCGCAAATTTTTATTTCATTCATATGTAATTCCATAATTATTTATTAGGCGAATTCATGACAACGGTCGAATATCTGGCAAACTTCAATTTACTCGGTATGTTTGTATTCCATAAAATTGTATACATTTTAAAATATTTGCTTAATGCAAAATATGACATTGACGTGAATACGCCCAACAGTCAATCACCTGCACTTTCACCCCAGACCAAATTTTCCTCTCCCACCACCCTCCTCGAAAGCCCGAGATCTCCAATCTTAACCGGAAGCACGTATCCGGGATGGTTCGAGAAAAATATATTTTCCGGTTTTATATCCCTGTGAATAATGTTCAAGTGGTGAAGAAATTTCACTCCCTCGATAATTCCGCGCACAATTCCCAACTGAAGTAATGCAACGCGAAAGTCCTTTGCGTCAAAATTGTCTTCCAGCCAATCTCGCAAAGTTGGACCGCAAAGCTCCATCTGAATCCAGAGAGCATCCGCAAATCCATGCTTCCTTCCGAAATAGTCAAATTTTCCAAGCAGTCTAGTTTCAGAGGCGCAGGAGTCGTAGTCATCCGCATGATAACTCTGATCCTTTTCTGTCGATGGCAAATTGTACAACTCGATGAGTTCTTTGGGCAACGATGTGAAGCCAAATTTATACGTGAAGACTGAATTCGGGTGAGCAATTTTAAAACAATTTTCAACTTCACGGGAAATTAGGGAGCCTGAAAATGAACTTGAAGACGTAGAAGTTTCGTTATCATCTTGTGGAACACGTAACCATGGACTTTTTCCATGGAGACGACTCATGTTTGAAACAGGAATTAGTTTTACAGCAGCGGTCGTCTCTCCAAGACGATGGTGAAATTTTGTGATTCCAAGGACACTTCCGAACGAGCCGGATCCAAGTTTTGAGACATGTTTTGCTTTTGAAATTGGTAACGTGGTCTTGGAATAAGTGAGTTTTATGTTGTGATAGTTCCAGTCCATTTTTGACTAAATTTTAAACTACAGGAGTTGTGTTTAGGGAAAAATGTAGTGTGTTCTACATGTGAAATTAAATGATGAAGAAGAGGAGTGTGAGGTTTTGGTTTAATGAGAGATTAATCTGTCAATACTCGACAATTAGAGATATGTATGATTTGCTTATCTGATTATTGAAATCTCCTGGAATCCTCGCCCTTGAGCAAGTAGATATGAGTTCATACTTAAGCTACATAAATATGACAATTTTAATGTGACTAATTTTATGAATATGTAAATATCTATGTATTTATACATTTGTAAATTATGTATTTGCATATGTTTGTAAATATGTACACAGTAAAAAGACATCATATTTAGCATAACATGCTAATTATCTCTGTCTTAACTGCATAGTCTAAATACTCTTTACAGAGATAGAAAAATGCGTACACATTTTTAAAAACATGGATTTCATCTTTGTTTGGCTAAATAAGTACATAATTACTCTTGCAAATACGTTATGTAACCAATGGGTGTACTCACGACAAAGGTTGCAAAATATTCTTACGGGTAGAAATATGGCGATTTTCTGGAAAAATTTGAACAAAAACACCTTGATTTTTCAGAAAAAAATCTGTAAAATACCCAAATCTCGAAAATTTCACAAAGTATCCTAAATTTCCTATGGGAAGCTTGTTTCATATTTCAGTCAGTTAACAATTATTGACTGACTACATTTAATTATCTGCTATAATTTTGAGCTTTTTAATACTGAGGCAATGCATGTACTCCTTGCTAACATTGTAAATACTGTAAACATGCGAGTATATAAATACTATATTTCATATACTATTTTCAACCGCGAGGATTACGTTGGATTTAGATAATAAATATCTCAAATTATCAAGTTGATCTCCCATTAAACCAAAAAACAACATTCCTCCGCTTCATTATTCCATTTCACATGTACATAATTAAGTAGAAACACATTACATTTTTAGCCAAACACAACGTATCTTGCTAAGAATTTAATAAAAAATGGAGTGGAAACCTCACAACGTAAAACTTACTTATTCCAAGACCACGTTACCAATCTCAAAAGCAAAACATGTCTCAAAACTTGGCTCCGGCTCGTTCGGAAGTGTCCTTGGTATCAAAAAATTACACCATGTTCTCGGAGAGACGACCGCCGCCGTGAAACTAATTCCTGTTTCAAACATGGAACGCCTCCATGCAAAAAGTCCTTGGCTTCGTGTCCCACGAGATGATACCCAAACTTCGACGTCTTCTTCAAGCTCATCATCAAGCTCCCTAGTTTTCCGTGAAATTGAAAATTGTTTAAAAATTTCACACCCGAATTCAGTCTTCACGTATAAATTTGGCTTCACATCGTTACCCAAAGAACTCATCGAGTTGTACAATTTACCCTCAACAGACAGAGATCAGAGTTATCATGCGGATGACTACGACTCTTGCGCATCTGAAACTAGACTACTTGGAAAATTTGACTATTTTGGAAGGAAGCCCGGATTTGCGGATGCTCTCTGGATTCAGATGGAACTTTGCGGTCCAACTTTGCGAGATTGGCTGGAAGATAATTTTGACGCGACGGACTTTCGCGTTGCATTACTGCAATTGGGAATTGTGCGAGGAATTATTGAGGGAGTGAAATTTCTTCACCACTTGAACATTATTCACAGGGATATAAAACCGGAGAATATATTTTTCTCCAACCATCCTGGATACGTGCTGCCAGTTAAGATTGGAGACCTTGGGCTTTCGAGGAGGGTCGTGGGAGAGGAAAACTTTGTCTGGGGTGAAAGTGCAGGTGATTAACCATTGGGCGTATTCACGTCATTATCATCTTTTGCATCACGAAAATACTTTACTAAATAATTTTGAGAAATAAGAACATGCCGATTTGTTAAGTAAATGGGCGAACAAAATCTCATGATTTTTTATCAATTACATACATAGTTTTGTGAAACGTAGTAAATTTCGCAAAACTTTTCAACTTGTGCTGAGATATTTGAGGGTTGGTGTGAGTTCGCCAATTATGCAAATAATTATATGAACAATATAAAAATGTATGAATTTTTAAATTGATTTATTTCAATATTTCTCAGACAGTTTTCTTGTCGACGGTAATGTCCAACTTACCGGTAACGTCGGCACGCCATCCTACATGGCACCGGAAGTTGGTCGGGGCAACTACAGCCTGCAAGCTGACCTTTTTGCATTTGGCCTAATTATGTGGGAAGTATTGGAATTTGATAAAATCCGGGGTAATCGGACATCAATGTTTTACGACCTGGTTTACGGTGGAATTGAAGATATCGTTAATAACCACAGCATCGTAAAAAATTCTAGAGAATTGATCATAAATCTAACCAAGAGAGATCCAAATTTGCGGATGCGTTCGATCCTTGACGTGAAATTAGACGTTCCCACTCCTACAACATTCTTCGCCAGAGATACCGCCGAGTTCGCCAACTGCCTGGAATTTTGCTCTGACGGAGACACCATCAATCTGGGTGTTGGAACCTTTGTCGGAGAATTTTGCATAAACCGGAACAATATCACGGTTCAAGGAGATGCGAAATTTGGCTCAGTAATTACCAGCAGTTTCTGGGGTTTGTTAATTCAAGGGGATAGAAATATCGTGAAGGATATAAAATTTGATAATTGTGACATCGAGTGTATCCGAATTCATGGGTCTTACAATAATGTGAGCAATATTGTCATGGCAGACTCGCTGTACGGTATTGTGACCTATAGCGTGCCAAAGTTAGGATTTCGTGGTTCTTATAATCAAATCAGCAACGTGTCCTGCACCGACGTAAATTTTGGGATTGCAATGATGGGCAGCCATAACAGGGTGAAAGATATTACAATTACTCGCGTGAGGAAAGATACCGCACACTTTGGGGGTATTACGGTCACCTGGAGTGTGGGCAATCAGGTGGAAAATTACACTGGGGTAGGTTTCTTATCTGCACGGCGAGATTTAGGAATTAAGGTTCGGAATGGTTGTGCCACATTTAGAAATTGCCAGTGTGGACGAGTAGATAGCCGTGGGGATAATGTTGCCCTGGAGAATGTAATTGTAAATGATGAACAAATTGTCATTTCTGGAGAAAATTATAATATTGTGAATTGCAGGAGTGGTGAAATTTTAATTAAAGTTGAGTAAATTGGTAATTTTTGGGACTTTTTATCACTACATGGAGGACATTAGATTGGCTGTGGAATGCTAAAATTCATAGGAATGTATGTATGTACTTATGCAATCTTGTTAGTTGTTAATGTCTAAAAAATGCGAAATTCACATTCACTAAACTCGTCACTTTTGTATGATTCTGCTGCATAAAAAGACGGTGGACTTTTATGTACATCTGATGCATATGGTAAGGGTAATTGCAGATTTGTCTATTCTAATTAATTTTAGGTTGTTATTCGTTTGTAGTTGATTCGTTGGCCAAATTAGAAAGAAGTTAATAATGTTAGACAATTACTACTTAAGTATAATTAGTTTTAGTCTCGTATTGTTCAATTGCGTACAAACAGAATTTATGTTGTTCTACTACAATATAGTTTTTGTTAGCTTATGCATATATTTATATTATGCTACTGGGTTACTCCATGAGTTATGGTAATGGACCTCATGTCGAAAATCAATTTTTTGAAATCCTTCAACTGTGTGTTAGAGGACCTTAAAATATGCAGAAAAATCATTTTCCTGGAATTTCTAAAGTTTGAATGGGGCTGGTAGGAGGGGGTGTGCTTCCGTTGAGATACCACCCTTTTGCAGCCGCTATTGCACTCAGGGGCTTCAAATTTCACATCAAGCTATCATGTGCCAATACAATTGCGGGTCTTTTTTTCTTTTTTTGAAATTAGGTCACGTTGACCGTTTTTAGGTCAAAATCCGCAGCATGTCAAATTTGTCTGAAAAACAGAAGTCTTACATAACCCCATAAATGGGATATGGTTGGAAAGGTCTCGGAAAGAGGATTAAGAATATATATACTTTGTGGGGTCTGGGACCACTCCCTGGTGTTCCAGAGACAGAACAATATTTTCGAGTTTTGCCCATCTATTTCTATGTTAGCTCCCCTATCTGCTGCAGTGTTAAAATCTGGAGAGATAGAAAATTCTCATTCTCCTGTTCTAAAATCTCAGGGGGTGGTCCCAGACCCCACAAAGTATATATATTCTGACTCCTCTTGCCGAGACCTTTCTAATGATGCCCCATTTATGGGGCTATGAGAGACGATCTGCAGAAAAATTTGACATAATGCACATTTTGACCTAAAAAAGGTCACAGTGACCTAGTTTCAAAAAAAAATAAAAAGACCCGCAATTGTATTGGCCTATAGTAGCTTTGTGTGAAATTTGAAGCCCCTGTGTGCAATAGCGGCTGCGTAAAGGTGGTATCTCAACGGAAGCCACACCCCCTCTTATCAGCCCCACTGAAACCTCAAAAATTCGGGGAAAATGATTTTCGTGAATATTTTAAGGTCCTCTAACACATAGTCAAAGGATTTCAAAAAAATTGATTTTCGACATCAGGTCCATTACCATAACTCATGGAATAACCCTACTCATAGGTACATAGCTGATTAAACCGCCGGGATGAATTTTCGACATTTTATCGAATAAGAGCTGATAAAATTACTTATGTATGTAGGTACATATGTGTTCCCATTAATTTTTTCGCTTTAAAGAGATCATATATCTACCCGTGTATCTTAAAATTGCAAATACCACATTTACCGTCGTCATGCGTCCAAACGACGTGAAATCGGCAATTTTCACACCTTCCGGTCGCACAGAGTTTAGCACCTTTCTACAATATGCATCTGTCTCCTTGATCTTCCAGCTCTGGATAGTTGATCCCATCGAAATTTGTGCCTTCCCCACAACGTTGCACACAACGATTATAAATACTGTGCAAACGAATGACACAATCGTACCCAGCACTTTACCCGTTAATACCCGTGTGAAATTGTCCTCCGTAATTTTGGCCGCTATAACAGCGCAGTTGCAAGATGCGCATATTCCCATCACTATGGTAACCGTCGTGGGGGCAAA